AAAGAACATGCGCGGAATTTCCTAATGACAAAGTTGGCATCCAAGCTACTCCATATGGCCTTATAGGCTACCCCGAAGGGAATGATAATAGTGGACGACCCACCGGCAGGGTTAGTGCCGGCTTGCTCCTGCCACCTCCTAGCCAGCCCTCTTCTCTGCACTGCGCCGTGAGACAGATGCAGCTCTCCTGGTGTTCTGAAATGCAGAGTGTGTGCCCCTTAAATACCCCCAAAAAATGATCAAATTTGGAAATATGTGCATTGGGCCCTTCTAATTGCGCTCTAGACTGTGTTCTGCTGTCTGTTTACTTAATTGCGGTCTATAGCCTGGCCTATGTGCAAATTGCGCACCTCAGAGGGCCATATGACGAAAAATTAATATAGTGGGAGAGTGTGTACAAGGCATGTGCAGCAGGCACTGGAGGAAGACCTGCTGATGTAGGGAGGTGTGTGCAGATGGGTAGGTGAGGTAGACAGCTTGTGTCTTGGCACTTGCATAGCATGCTTGAGGAATACATTCTTGTCTACTTCTGATGTGTCTCTATCAGCATACATATTGCATATGTGTAGTATGTGTATAGTATGTGTATACGTGTATGTATATCATGTGTGGTATGTGTGTATAGTTCTGTGCTGGTGTACGCATAGGTTTTCATGTCTGAGCCGAGCCTTTTTGTTCTTTATGTGGCTGGCGTGTGATGCGGAGTTTATTCAGCTTTCTACATTGCGCTGAGTGTTTGCTGAGAGTGGTTCTTCAAAAAGTGCAGTTTTCTGATTTTTGTGTGTCTTTATCTTTTTTTTAGAAGAAACAAACCCTTCTGAACAGCAGTGGTAGTGCGAATATTGTAGAGTTTATTTTTGCAAAGATGTAGAAGAAAGGATAATAAGAAGACATAGACAGAAGAATGAAGACATAGTACAGAAGAGGTAGATTAGAGACAGAGAGTACGGGATAAATGTATAATTTTATACTCACACGTTATATCATAATAGCCTCTAGTTTTAAATTTAAGTATCTTTTAGCTAGTCTTTATTTGCAAAGCCCACTTTACATCAGGAAGAAAATTCTAAATAGAGATTGTCTATATACTAGTTTTAAAATTAAATACTCATTTGTTATGTATAGGAGTGTGGAGAAAGGGGGCTATTAGAAATAGTAGCGTACCTTTAAATCATAAAAGGCTTAGATTTTCTTAATAGAAAGCTGCACTAGAGTACTTGAGTAAGTAGGAGAGATATCCAAAATAGCATTGAAATTAGAAGTCATAGAGGATAAGTACTCCAAAGGGTGCTTAGGCATAGTCAATGTGTTGCAATATGTTATTAAAAGGTCTTTATTTTAAAATCTTCTTATTTGTCTGCATAGGATTTAGTGGTATATTGCAGCCACACGAATACTAATTTTAAATATATCTAATTTAGCATATAATTTTCTTAAGAGCACATTCTACTTGCTGCATTATATACCACCAATACAAAAGGTATGGTCTACAAAAAACACACTCGCATAAGTTATTTTCAAATATAGGAGCTGTAGAATAATAACAGTAAATAGATTTATTAGATTAAAGACTAAGATTCAGCCTATGCGTGAACACCATAGTCCTCTTCATCTACAGTTGCATCCTGATACTGCTGGTACTCACTGTATAAATCGTTCATATTTGACTCAGCCTCAGTAAACTCCATTTCATCCATACCTTCTCCTGTGTACCAGTGAAGGAAAGCCTTCTTTCGGAACATAAGACTGAACTGGTCACTGATTCGCTTGAACAGCTCCTGAATTGCTGTGCTGTTACCAATGAAGGTTGATGACATGTCAAGGCCGGTGGGAGAAATATCACACACAGAGGTTTTTACATTGTGAGGAATCCACTCCACAAAGTTTGCGAAGTTCTTTCTCTGTATACTGAGCATCTGCTCGTCAACATCTTTCATCGACATTTTTCCTCTGAACATTGCAGCAACTGTCAAGTATCTTCCCTTTGTGGGGTCGCAAGCTGCCATCATGTTCTTTGGGCTGAACATCTGCTGGGTCAGGTCGGAAACTGAGACGGCTCTGTATGCGGTAGAGCCCTGTGCAGTCAGAGGCGCAAATCCTACCATGAAGAAGTGCAGCCTTGGGAATGGGATCATGTTAACAGCAAGCTTTCTTAGATCAGCGTTGAGTTGCCCTGGGAATCGAAGTGTTGTTGTAATTCCGCTCATCACCACAGACACCAACCTGTTTAGGTCGCTGTACCCAGGGTTTGAGAGCTTCAGAGTGTTGAAGCAGATGTCGTATAGCGCCTCATTGTCAATACAGAATGTTTCATCACTGTTTTCCACCAGCTGGTGAATACTGAGCGTTGCGTTGTACGGCTCAACAACAGTGTCGCTTACCTTAGGAGATGGTACCACACTGAACGTGCACATCATTCTTTCGGGATACTCCTCTCTTATCTTGCTGATAAGAAGGGTTCCCATACCTGCTCCGGTTCCTCCACCAAGCGAGTGCGTGACCTGGAATCCCTGCAGGCAGTCGCAGTTCTCGGCCTCTTTCCTGATTACGTCCATCACAGAGTCAACTAGCTCTGCCCCTTCTGTGTAGTGGCCCTTTGCCCAGTTGTTTCCTGCCCCTGACTGTCCGTGGATGAAGTTGTCTGGTCTGTACAGCTTCCCGTACGCGCTCTCCTTGATTACCTCCATTGTGCCTGGCTCCAGGTCCACTAAAACTGCTCTAGGCACATACTTTCCGCTTGATGATTCATTGTAGTAGACAGACGCCCTGTCCAGCTGATATGAGTTGGTTCCCACGTATGCCCCTTCGCCGTTTATTCCATGCTCTTCACTTATTACCTCCCAGAATTTGGATCCGATTTGATTACCACACTGGCCTGTTTGCAAATGTACGATTTCCCTCATCTATTAGCAGGGGTGAATTTATGAGAAAATAATAAATAAAAAATAGAGAGGACCAATCATGCCATCTTTATACACTGCAGTATACAGCCATAGGAACGATCTGCTCTACGAGTCCGAGACAGAGGGAATAAACAGAATGCTCGTGCACTCAGCTGTGGAGATAATGGACTATGGAACGAGGGGTGCAAAGAAGGATCTATTTATCAAAATAGTAGAGTACAATGGAAGAAAGGTAAGCGGGGTACTTCTGGAGAACGGATACAAGGTCATGTGTGTTTTTGCAAGCGAGGAGAATGAAGTGCAGGAGATACAAGAAGCAGCAAGCATGTTTAGACAGAAGGTTTTACAGGGAGAATTTAATCGATTTGAATTTTAATTTGTTATGCGGGGCCTAGTCACTCAATACATAGAAGAGAAGCAAGACGCGGTGGAGCTAACATCGGTTAGAAAAGACGGGAATGAAGACTCAGTCGAGGGGACCAAGATAGTGCAAGAAATTAAGAAAAGACACCATAGTAAGGGAAAAAGACAGAGCGCAGGAAGAAGCAGAGGGATGACTGTGCGAGAAAAGGCAAAAAGCATAAGCAACACGCCTGTTCCCACAGTAAGTGATGAAAAGTCTGGAGTAAAGAAGCCGTTTTTCGGGATCTTTGGCGAAATAGACATTAATGACGGCACCTATTTAGTCTATATAAAAGAAAGAAGAGTGGCTGGAAAGCTAAAAGGAAAGGATGTATACGAGGTGCTTGAGTGCGGGAGCATATGCATAGATGGGCTGGATGACCCGCAGATGAAAGAGGTGTTCAATGAGTTTTTTAAGATGCCTGGCCTGTTCTTCTCAGAGTATCCGCTAGGAAACGTTGGGTCTCTTCTAAAGGAGAACACGGATTTTATTTACAACTTCATACCGCTCTCAAAATTTAGGCAGAACAACCCCAAGGCGTGCGAGTTTGGGGTGGAGCTCATCCAAGGATTCTTTGGGCAGGCAAGTCTTTCTGGAGAAGTAAATCTGGAGTGCACTCTTATAAGTAGAAGATCCTGGAGAAATGCAGGAACCCGCTATTATGCGAGGGGCTCAGACCCAAATGGGGATGCTGCCAACACAGTAGAAACACTGCTGATTGCAGAGACAGAAGAGAATTCTTATGAGTTTCTGCAGTGCAGAGGGTCTATTCCTTTGTCCTGGGAGCAAAAAATCGATTTGTCGTATAAGCCACCCATTAAAATGGGAAGCTCAGACCTAAGCAGACATTTGTTCTCAAAGCACTTGAGTGTTTTGCAAAGAAGGTATGGAAGATATTTCTTTGTCACTTTGCTAGACACTAAAGGCCATGAGAGAGAGCTGAACAGCAAATTTATAGCCTCTCTAAAGGAGACAGGATGCATGTATCTAGCAGTAGACTACCATAAGATGGTGAAAAACTCAGAGGAAAAGAAAGAGTTCAAGAAAAGCCTAAAGGAGGTGCTATCGAATCGATGCATAGCAAGAACAAACTGCGTTGACTGCTTAGACCGAACAAACGTGGTCCAATCGCAGCTTGCGAAGATTCGGCTAGTAGAGCTGCTTGGGCTCACCGGGATTTTAAAAAACGGAGACATTCTTGACATCGACGACTATTTAAGCGAGAGCTCAGTTAAAAAGTTTGGCCAGCTCTGGAATAGCAATGCAAACATGCTCTCCATGCAATACACAGGAACCATAGCGCTGAAGAACGACCTGACAGAGCACGGCGTGCGAACCATAAAGGGCCTGATCCAGGATGCGATAAGCAGCGGGAAAAGGTATGTCAACAACAACTTTACAGATGGAAGAATGCAGGAGATTATTGAAGTTATTACAGGAGTACGAAATGTATTGGGAAACTCTACTAGGGGGGATCGAAAAATAGGAATATATGTGGCTGTGTGGGCCGTGCTTATTTCTTGTTTATATAGGCATAGCACAAGTGCAGGAACGGCAGGTTTAGTATGTTTCATGGTTTTATTTAGAAGTATGCTTTTCTTCTGCTTATCCTTTCCATCTCCCCAACCCAAAGCCAAATTTCAGAAGACAAAAAGAGGTTGAATACGCCGTGCTCTAGCCATGCATAAAGGCAAGTGCTATTCTATGTCTAGAGATTTTTAGAGTAAGGTGTTTAAATAAAGAACATAAGTGCCATCTATTTATAGTTTCAAGAGCATGTTTTGGAAGCCTGCAGGCTATTCTTTAATCTAGAGGCATAGCCCAAGTGGTAGCTACTTTATTTCTGAAATATAGATGTTGGTTTTCTTTGTCTTGGTAGCATGAAGCCCTTTACTTAGTTCAGAAAATTAGAATAATATTGGCTATTGACTTTCAAGTTTTGGCTGGATTATTAAGTATGCTATAGGGGCTCTGCTTGTTTACATGACAGCAATCGTAGTGGTTGGGCTGTATTGACACTCCGTGCGATACTCTTATCTTTTATCTCAATTTATATAAGAATAATGTGTACTAACTGTAAGCTAGAGATCTATAAATAGAGAACAAGAAATGAATTATAATTTAGTTTAGTGTAACTAAGTTTATATACACACTGCGGGCCATATGTGAATTGGCATGCTGGAAAATCCTGCTCACTGCGCATGGAACGCACGCAGCATAAACAGGCCACACAGCTTCTGTTTCATCTAGAAAGGCTTACGCAGACAGATGGACATACAAAACAGACGGTAGTAGATCAATTTTCCTACATACAAGGTATGTTTCGGGCTGCAAAATAGACCATTTAAAAGATGATACATCTGATTTTCAAACTATTTAAGAAGCCCTATGCAGAAACATCAGAGCTCCTTGAGGGATATCCCTCTTCTAGCATTTGAGTAGAACTATTTATGCTATGCATAAGAATACCAAAGTTCTATTATAGCTCAAACAGCTAGCGACAGGATCTCTCCCGCAACATAATTACTGTAATAATATACCCGGGCGCAGGCCCACATTGTGATAATAATGGTGTGCATATAACTAATAAACACAATGGCAAAATATCTTTTTTTTACACGCTCAAAGTAATTCTTATACTAAAACACTTTTATGCATAGAGCGTAGTGCAAGCTTTAGCATGCCTTAATTCATTCTTATCACTTTGGCATGTTTATTATACATTGGCATGTATAATATATATTAGAACCTTCTGTTCTGTGTATCAGGCTATATACATGTTGCTGTTGATGTTTCATTGCCAAATGCATATTCTCTTTTTCCATGCTACAAGCCATTTAGGCTAGCTTTAAGAGAAAAAAGCACACCAGCTTAAAGGTCTTTTTTAATTGGAAGTTGGGCAAAAAGAATCAATAAAACAACTGCTCTGCTTCCCCTAGGGAAATGGATAGCATATTAAGATCATGGCCTGCACATATTTCAGTGGTGGCTTCGTTAGTTAAATACGGAGTGTATAAGATCCAAGATGTTGTAATAAAAAGCGTAGCAAAGAAAACAATAGACCCATATATAGAGAATGTTATAGTAGAGCCATTTATTGAATATGCAAAAAAATCACATGTAGTAAATAGCATTGTAAGCTCAATAGGATCAAATGTATTAATTCAGGACACTTTGCTAGCAGGAGCCAGCGTGTTTGACACCATAGGTTTATCTATAGAGAAAAAAGTAGAATCAGCAACAAGCATTGCCAAGTGGGGCTTGAAAGGAGCTAGTGGTTCATGCCATCTTCTAAAGAGCACGCTTATAATCCTGCCATTTTTCCTAGTTCTCTACTATGCAATGGTAAATACAATTTTGGCCCGGCAGGTATATAAAAACAAAAAGCTTGTAACATTCATATCGCTTTTGACAGGAACGGTTATGCTTGCTGTTCTGGCAAGCAATTTCTATATCATGTATAGCAAGCAAATATTGAGATTTATTGCGCCAAAAATCCTGGATGCTCCACTTCTGCTAGCAATGAACATACTAATCTTCTATGTATATGGTGGGTTTGAAATAATAACTCTTCTACAAATAATTCACACAAGGAAAAAAGAAAATGAAAGCTATTTTATGCATGCTATGCATGCTATAATGCTTGGGTTGGCGCTAGTAGCTATTACAGGATATGTCGGGTCAGTGCTAAATCTTTACTTTGGCTTCTTTCGCTATTTTTCAGCTGCATTTTCAACTGTTTAATAAGAGCATTTAGTTGCTGAAAACTGTCTATATGCGTATTCATATAATAGTCTTCTTAATAGTTGAATAAATCAAACCTTCTGTGCTACAGCTTTTATTTTATTTTACGCCACATGTACGCAGTGCAGAATATAGTCAATTCTATACAAGAGGATCTACTAATCTAGCTATTAATAGTGTATTTATACATGTGTGCAAGCATGATAGCCCAATAGGCAACTATGCAGGGCTGTGCTGTAATTCAAAGAAAAGTAACTTAGCTCTTATAATTGCAAAAGCATAGATACAAGGAACGCAAAAAGGCTTCAAAGTACCAGAAAGTGAACCTCATATAACCTGAATTCACTTTATTCTTCTGTGCAGTGCATAATACACTTAATATTAGTAGAAAGGCCATACCACCCGAGTTCCACAGATTGAATAATAGTAGCTAGAATTCTTATGACGACATTTTTTATACTGTGAGAAGAAAAATTAATTAGCTCAACAAGACGCATTATGGAATGAAGGTTCATTTGGTGGGCCGCAGATTCTTATATATTAGAAGTCAGCATGTACGAAGAAGATCTCACTTCTAAAGACGCTGTTCAAGCGCAAAACTATTTTAATGTCATTTCGATATTTAATAAACAATATCCTTGGCATTTTATCGTATAAATATTCTATTTTTTTCTTTGTTATATGCATAGGTCAAGCGAAGTTGAGCTTCTTACATGGATCAAGGGCATTCTTTCTCTGAAGATAAACGAGAAGACAGACAATTTGATGGATCTGCTGGCGGATGGAATAGTTCTTTGCGATTTGATAAATGCATTTATACCAAACAAGTGCAAAGCCAAGCCATCCTCTATTGTATTTAAAAGAATGGAGAACATTGATTTATTTTTGAGAGCAGCCAAGGAGATAGGAGTGCTTGACAGCGAGCTATTCCAGACAGTTGACTTAGTGCACGAGGAGAAGAGAAACCCAAAACAGGTTGCAATATGTCTTTACTCTCTTAGCAGAAATCTTAAAAAAAGATTCCCAAACTCCAAATTCAAAATCATTGGGCCTAAGCTTGCAAATCCAAATGTGCGAGAGTTCACTCCAGAGCAGCTAGAGATGGGTAAGAAAATAATAAGCGTTCAGATGGGCACAAACAAAGGAGCAACACAGGCAGGGCACGGAACAGGAGTTAGGCAAATAACACCTGGTTACGAATAAATTGTCTTTAATTAACATATTTATTAAACATTCAATATTCGTCTTTCAATAAAATGGCTCGATTATTGATCCTTCTTGCAGTTTGTATCTCTCTGTGCAGTGTAGCAGCGGACAACTATCACACAGCAGGAGTAAAAAGGGTTGTGTGTAATGAGACAGACCTTAATGTGAACTGCACAGGCAGCAGATGGAAGATATCCTATCTAGGCACTGATGAAGAAATAGAAATAGACGAAACCAGCGAGTGTGTGTACATAACAGGAGCAGTGCAGACTGCATTCCCAACAATATACAGAGATAAGAGTATTGTATATCCAGCCGGATACAGAATAATTCTGCACTCAGATACAGTCTACAACGGCGTGCCAGAAAAGATCATCGCTATGTGTGGGGCAATAGTCTTAACTACTATCACAGCTTTCTTGGCATTTCCAAAGCTAGAAGGCTTCTTTAGAAGAGAAGAAAAAATACGCAAAGAATAAAATTTTATATGCATGGACATTGAAAGACTTCCTATTATTTCAGAGCTTTATGGAGAAAAGAATTCAGGAAGTGCTGAGTTTTGTTTTTATATAGCAAAGAGCACAAACTCGCTGTGGATAGAGTCTTGCAAAAGAACATGCACTAAGAGAGCTGAATTAATGCACATTGACTTAAATAGCATGCATATTTGCAAAGTGCTAAACATCTATTTATTAGTGAATAAGCTGCAAACAAAAGAAATACATAACTTCATAGAAACCCACAAGATAAAGCTTCTTATAATTAATAAGCTAGATGATCTGACCACTGCAGACCATCAAGAAGACACAAAGAGCTGTCTTGAGCTGGTAAAGCATTTAAAGATGATGTATATCACGCACAGTGTAAAGAGCATAGTTATAACAAATGTAAGGCCTGGATATTCAAACAGTTCATTGGCTAAGAGGCTCTTGGGCGGAATGTTTGCAAATAGTGCCTTCAGTGCATATTGCGCAATAGAGGATGAAGAGACAGAAAGCAGCAAATACAACCTAAACACATACATTGCCACCCAGAGGTTCTCCAAAAAAGACACGCCCAGGTCAACAGTGCACAACAATTCATGGGACAGCTGCATGCCAACTGCATTTTACATAGAAAAAACACCAATTCCAGGTGTGCACATGATGCGAATGGTAAGGCCTAAAACACCAAATGGCCTGCAATACGTATTGAAAGTGAACTCAGATGAAATAAGTGTAGATAGAATATAACCCAAATCTGCAGAGCTACGCGTAACATCTTGTATCTGCATTTTAGAGAGAGGAAATTCATAAAAACTGCTGCACTAAATTTAAGCTCTATTTATACTGTGATGTCTTGGTGCAGGATTGTATGCATGCAAATACCCAGTCTTTGCAAAAGAGGGGATATGCTTATGCAATGCATAAATAAATTATATTTTTATTCTACATGATTCTTACACTTCCGTCTTTTTTGGTGAGGCGCATACTGCGAAAGGGGCAGCTGCGAGACCTAAATGGAATTAGGGAGGTGGCATTGACAGGAAAGATAATTCGGCGGACTAGAAGCAGTGCAATTCTCTTTGACTCCTTTTCAGGAATTCAAATACAAACAAATCATCCAGTGCTTCTGAAGGAAATTGACGAGAGCATTGAGAAGAACTACCCAGTGCACGTGGTGTGCACTCTGGAGCGAATCCCAAGAGCGCGGCTGCATGCCAAGTCTGTTAGAAGAAGCACTTTCAGCGAAGAAATGTACAGAACTCTGGAGGCTATTGAGTTTTGGAAAAAGGTTCAGTTTCAAAAACAACCAAAGTAACTGAGATCAACAAACATTAGAATGCATATAAGGAAAAGGAGTAAACACAATAATGCTTAAGGCACTGCCTCTCTATACTAAAGAAAGAGAAAAGTCTGACATGGCAGATCTTGAGGTATTGGGAAGCATCTCCTTTGATTTGCACATCAACAAAAATGAGGAAATTAAAAATGCCTTTGTTTCTTTAGTGGCCAAGCTAGGAACAATGGAATTTTTAGAAGAGTACTGCGCGCTGTATAATAAGATAATGCAGATATACAAAGGCAGAGGTGCATCACTCTATCATGAAGGCCTTCCTGAATTTGCCTTTGAGAGCGAGGCTACTAAGGAGAAGCCAAGTGAGATGCCAATAGACGAACTTCTAGACTCATGCGTGCTTCTTCAAGAGATATCCATAAGTACAAGCTATATAAATAAGAGCTGATCAAATAAGACTCTGTATGCTGATTATTATGCCAAATAAATTCTTGTATTAAATAGAAATATGTCTATATGTGTGCATTGCAAGGAATAAAATAGAATAATATTTTCATTGAGATGTTGTATAAAAGTGCTATGTAAAAGTGCTATATAAAATTAGTGTAGTTATTGCTTCTATACTAGAGCATAATTCAGGTTATATTTGCATGCAGTGCAGATTCTAATTCTTATTCTATGTTATGTGTATATTTGTACGTCTGTGTATATTTTTATGTCTGTAGAAAATTTAGCAAAGATTATAGCTGTGACAAGATACAGATGCATTTACTTAGTATGATTGGTGTAACCTCTTAATTATTTTATTATAAGAAGCCATCTTGTATGTATGAAAATACTCTTTGCTGCTGAGTGCATTTTCTAGCATATGCCACTGCATAAATTGAGAATGCATATAGGCTATTGCTGTATAGCATACCTATACAGTCTATGCTGAGTATTTTTCAGTGCCACTAAACTCCCAGCAAGATAGAAATATTTGGATATTTTCTTATATATGGCCTAGGGGGTTTATTAATATTAATTCTCTGCCAAAACAAAACTGAACTACTAGTTTTCATATGCACTCTTAATATATTTTTGAGTGATCACGCGTGATTATCTGGAATTCCCTATTATGCAATTATATTTACTCAATTTATCATTAGCATAAGAATGTGCTCCAGCTTCTCCAAAATAAAAGTATTTAGAATATTGAATGCTACTTAAAAAGATTACCTGTAGCTTTCATATATAAAAGGCTTCTATATAATAGCATTCTTATGGCTAGTATATCAAGAAAATGAAGACTAAATGTGATTTTGCACCTCTTTATTATTTGTGTACACAGTGCATGCATCAACACTAATGCTCTGTCTCTGAAACCCACATATCAGATGTCATGTAGTCTTCAGCAGTATCAATGCTCACGCCTATATGCTGTTTGTCTAGCGTCTGCATGAATTTGTGCAGCGAGTAATTGTAGTTTTCTCTGGACGCGTTTGACTTGCACCCCCTATATCTCAAGGTCTTTGTAGGATCCGTGTTTAGAAATGACCACACACAATAAGATAGAGCGCCAAAGAAGAACGCCTGGAACACCCAGAAAAGATACACACCCATTGACTTTAATGCCGCCATGATGCCTAGCTGTGCTTTTTGGGATTAGAAGATGGTTAGGTCCCTGTTTTAAATTATGCCAATGAATAAATATGCAAGTACCGAATAAAACATGAAAAATTTTCAGCTGCAAGAGAGAGCCCAGAGCGTTCTCTGCATACTTTCCTCAGTGCTAACCGCTGTAACAGTTATCGCCATTCCAATTATTCTTTCGCTTGAAAAAGCAGGCACAAAAAAGAATATCTTACGTCCAGAAAATAAATAGATGCGATTATTTATTCAAATTTCACATGTTTCTTGTTGCTGCTGTTCTCAGATGACCATGCTCTCTTGTTTCCAAAGCCAGATGATCTGTCAGAGTTGTCCCTTCTTCCAAATGAGTTGTTGTCTCTTCTTCCAAATGAGTTTCCGCCTCTTGGTGCTGAGTTGTTCTTTCTCTCTGAGGGCTGAGCTCTGATTGCTCTATCCATGTAAGTTATGTTTGAGTTAATAAGTTTACGTGCCTCCTCAGGTGTCTCGCAGGATGCAAATGCAAATCCTTTTGGTCTTCCGGTCTCTCTGTCCTCTGGGATTCTGATCTGGGTTACCTCTGCGTATGTCTTTAGGTGGGCTAATAGATCGTCGTGGTCGACGTCAAATGGAATATTTCCTAGGAAAACTGTGTTGTCGTCTGTCTTGTTGAAAACTCTGCCTTCTGTTCCTGCAGCTCCTCCCTTCTGTCCAGATCTGGCCATGTCTACAACGATGGTTCTTCCATTGTAGTCGGTTCCGTTTAAGCTTCTGCTCTTCTCGCATGCCTCCTTGCTCTCAAACTCAACGTATCCAAAGCCTTTGCCGCCTGGCCCATCTCTGCTTCTTGGGATTCTCACCTCGACGATTTCTCCGAACTGGCCGAACAGCTCCTTTAATTCGTCTTCTGTGGCGCTGAAGTTAAGTCCCTTGATGAAGATTGTTCTCTCATCCTTGGTCTCTTCTGGCTCCTCCTTCTTCTCTTCCTTAACAGACTCCTCAGACTCTTCCTCGGATCCAGAGCCCGACTCTTGCTCCTCTTCGGATCCGGTTTCAGTTGGGGACTCAGTTGCGTCTTCTGCTGAGTCGTTGCTGGTGTTCTCGGACACAGTCTGCTCCTCGGAGTCTACTGTCTTAGAAGCTTCCTCTGCATGAGTCTCCTCCTGTTTCTTAATATTTGTTTCTTCTTTCTTGTTTTGTGTCTTTCTTACTGCCATTGCAAGGGTTAAGAATATGCAAATTTTTTTCAATTTATAGTTAAAATTTCTCCAAAATTTTTCGTTCTTTACCAAAGACTTCAATTATAAAATATTACTGATCTACTGTAATTTGACTTTCGTTTCCTTAAGCATATTTTCCAAAATATTTCTTGCAGTAGCAGGAGAAAGTGCTATGCATTTAGCAGGCAAAAGTACTTATAAGCTATATAAATTTTTCCTAGTGTTCCGTATCCATTTATTTCTACTTAAGCTGCAAGATTGAAGGCAAACACTTTTCGAACTTCTGGCACAAGAACTGCCTTTACAGAGGAGAACACGCTTATTCTCATATTTCGCCCATCAGATATGCACCCGTCCACAACAGCAAGAGACTCTGGAAGACACAGAATCCCGTTTATTCCGTAGTATGGAAGATACACCTCTACCTTTGCAGAAGATATCCCCACAATTACAACAGTAACCATTTGGTTCATGATAAGATACCGCACGTACAGCTGGTTCGCATGCCGGGCAACCATCTTTGCATTTCTGTATGATCTGTTAACCGAGTCGCAGATTCTTTCCAGACGTGTTTCCGTGATAGGGGAGTATTTCTCGCGGTGAATTGCGCTGTATAATATCCTGTGCACAATTACATCTGCGTATCTTCTGATCGGGGATGTAAAGTGCGTGTAGTTTTCCATTGCCAGCCCATAGTGAAGCTTGCACCCGATGGAGGAGGGAGAGTAGACTGCCTGGGTCATGCACTTTGTCGCCCATGCTCCAATTGTGCTCTTCAGCTCATCTGTTGTTGAGTATGCCTTTAGTGTGTTGGAAAGCACTGAGGGCTGCTGCGGATCTAGCACCACTTGTGTGCGCGTGTGCCTGGAGAGAGCTGTCTCCAGTTCCTTGAATGCTGCAGTCGATGGCCTTGGGTGGATTCTTATTAGAGACTCCTTTGGGTACACGCTAGATATGAAGGTGGCCACGTGCTGGTTTGCCAGCAACATGAACTCTTCCACAAGAGAGTGCGTATCATACTCTTCTGTATGGCTGTCTTCTGTAATAATGTGCTCTGCAGGATTTCGCAGTATGTCTTTAAAGTACTTGTCATTTCTTGCTGATATTCTGCACTCATCTGAGTGTATCACAAATGCGCCAGTCTCCAGTCTACTCTTCTTCAGAAGAACAGAGATTTTCTTAAGAAGTTGGACGGAGTTCAGAATCTCCTGGGAACTGTACTGCCCTGTCTTAAGAACTGCAGAGGCCTGGTCGTATGTAAATGACACCTTTGAGCGAATAATCGATTTGACAAATCGCCTGTCAAGGAAAACCACTTTATCCTGGGCCAGGCGAACCTTCCAAACAACAGAAAATGCAAGTCTGTCCACATTTTCATGAAGAGAGCACAGATTTGTTCCCAGAAGAGGTGGAAGCATGTCTATTCTTCTATTTGGCAGATACGTAGTGCATCCTCTGATTCTTCCCTCTCGGTCCAAGTGACTGTCTTCCTTTACAAAGTGCGTGACATCTGCTATATGCACACCCACATCAATGGTGCCGTCTGTGTTGTACTTTGCATGCAGAGCATCGTCTATGTCTATGCACCCTTCTGGGTCTATACTTGCAATAGGATAGTCCCGAAGATCCTCTCTTTCTGCCAAGTCCTCCTGGGTTATCTGCCAGTTTTCAGAGGGTAACTCAGCCTGTGCTGCTTCCTCAAATGCCTGGTCCAGAATAGCATGGTGTGCAAGAAGGGCTGCTGTCTCTGCCTCAATGCTTTCCTTCTCTCCGGTCTCCTTTATTATATATCCAATGGGATATTTTTCATTTTCGTACCACTCTTCTACTACTACTAACAGAACACTTTTTTCTAGTCTGGCCATAATATCTGGGATATTATGCTGTGTGCTGTCTGAGCGCGCTGTCAGTTGGCATATGACATTTGGAAGATTGTTCATCTCTGGCTCAAGGAGAACATGCGACATACTCTCATCGAGTGTCTTTATTATTCTGCATGGGAAGGGTTTTCTATTTCTTCTCTCCACGCTAACCACTCGGCCTATGTATACGTCTCCTGCCTCCTTAAGTACTTCAACTATTACATAATCTCTGTCAATTGCTCTGTTAAGATGCTCTCTTGGAACTTCTATTCGGATTTGGTGTCCTTCAATGTTGCAGAGGAGTACTCCGCCTGAGTCTCTGTCCTCTATGGAGATGAAACCAACCTCAATTCTGTCCTTCAATTCAGCGACCTCCTCCATGCTCATATACGGCATATTGTACTTTTCATCTGTTGGAAACATTTCTCTAATGGAAATCTCTGGTAAGTGTGTGCTAAACTGTGTAGATAGAAATAGTCCCTCTGGATACTCTGAAGGAACTTCTTTCTGGGAATGAACTGCCATGAATGTGCACTCTTTGATGTGCTCGCCATACCACATGCTGATCATCTCATAGTATGAGCAGTCCACTGCAGACTTTCTTTCCTTGTTATACGTATAGATGTCCTCGCTGTAGATATCTTCAAGAACAAAAAGATTGTACCTGTCTATTGCCATCTCTAGCCTTCTATGCGTGTTCATGTACTTTTTCTTTATCTCCAAGAGTGCTGTCCTGGTTAGAATGACATTTCTAATGCTTTTTGTCTCTATGAAGGAAACAAAGTCATTTAGAAACTCATCAGACACAATATAGAACGTAGATGAGTGCTGAAGGGACTCCTGGATCCTTGGATTTATATTTCCGCAGCACCCGAACCCACAAGGAAGATTTCTGCTTAGATAGATCTGCGAGGGTATTTTAAAGATCTCGCCCTTTTTATTCTGCCGGTATGAAGTATATATTCTATCCATGCAATATAAAAAAATTTCAATGGAACAGATTTCTGAATTTATGCATTCACCTGTTTCTGTTAAAACACACTGTGGAAGCATCTATGAAGGCACACTACTAGCAATTGACCAGTACCTGAATGTAGTCTTACAGAATGCCACAGTTAATGCAGATATTAAAAAGGGATTTCTTTTTGTAAAGGGCTCTAATATTCTTCTGCTTACTCTAATTGAGTGAGAGTGTATTCAAGGAGTGGATATTTTTGGAACTTGTTAGGCCAGGATCTATGCAAAGGCTGATTTATATTTGTACATTCTACTTTATGCGCACTTTTATTAGGCCTTAAAGTACACGTGCACAGTCATAGAAGCAATTATTCCTTCAGAGTATTCATTTTTAATTCATTCAATATACATGGAAAAGAGACTGGTACGGCTTTTGTATATATAAGAATATTCTGTGTGCTATATGGTGATCAGCATAGACAAACATTTTATATCAGGGTGAGACACGCCTGAATAGACTAGATTTCATTGTTATAATGGACTGTATTCATGTTAGAATAGATTATCATACTATTTACTATTAGCTAAACTAAATATAGCTCTAGGCGGATTTCTGGTACATGCATGAATTACATGAAGAAAATCTTCTGTGTAATAAAGACAGCCGGAAAGAATGAAGACCAGTTCATATAGAATACAGCACAGTGTAAGATATGTCTATGCTTCTATGAGAGATATTCTACATACTACCTGCAGACATATATCTTATTGTTTATGCAGTTGCATGTAAAATGCTTGGCTATAAATAAACCATTTTAATTGTTATTTCTTGGCTTATACTTTATATATTCAAGTTAATTTCATGTGAATTTATGAAATAACCTGAATGCACTTTTCACCCACAAGAAGCACAGGAGTTAGTTTTTGTTTGGAATAGTCATATGCTCATGGATATTCCATCTGAAGTGCTTACTTAGGATATACTCTGAATACTTCTGGTTATATTTGGGTATTTATTTGCTCACGGGTGCAAATCTGCTTAAAAAGTTTCTTTCATCCGTATATTGCACTTGCCATGATAGTGCATCCTTTGAGTCTAGGCTGTCATGGGGCTTTGCTAATTTCTTTTTAGAAAAATCTTTAAACCCAAAGTCTTCCACACTGCAAAGTAAAAAAGTATAAGTTTCAGCTATATTTAATTTAGTGTTTTATAACCAGTTCTGTAAGAAAGTGCAGAACACAAGGGTTCTATTTTACTATGCACTGTGTATCTTTGAGTTATTTATTCATCTACAATTACACGTGAGATAAATAGATACCAGCACGCACCACCCACAGAAGCCACTTACACTGCGTGCTGTCAATGGATATTGACATATTTCTCAAAAAACCCTATTCATTAGCATTGACATATAGAAGGAGTATGGCATCATCCTTGAATAGAGGCAGCTGGTCAATCTTTCCATCAATAAAAGTTGTCCACAGCACTTTTTCTATATCTGCATCGTGGTTGTTCAGAAAAGATCTTTCATCAAGCATCTGTGCAAAGTAGTATCCTCCACTCGGATTATTCTGGTATATTACAGCTGCTTTGAGCTTGTAGCTTAGAAATGACTCTTTCCTGCCTTGCTGAAACATACTCTTTGGCCTCTTCTGAGACCTGGTCTGGTTCTTAACAAAAAACATCTTCATCTTCTCAAAGACATCTGGGGGTAGTAGGTCAGAAATAAACACACTTCCAATGTCGTGCAAGTTTTCTTCTTCATCCATGCGGTTTTCAAACACTCTCTGGGGATACAGTGGTGCATGTTCGCTTCTTCGCTCACTCTCACGGTATGGAATGCACAGCTCCTTTTCTATTGTACTTGTTGCATTTTCTCCCAGAATGTAATTCCCTGGCTTCTTCAAGCGGATAGTTATGATGCTAGGAATATTTGCAAGACACGAAGTAACTGTTTTATTGGCAGCCCCGCACTTGCAGAGCTTATCCAACTGCTTTATGGAGAAAAACTCAGAGATGCTTTGGTTTGGCTTCAAGTACAAAATACATACTTTCTCTGACCGGTCCCACTTCTCCCGGCATACATTGCATGTAATAGATGACCGCAGCAAAATATAAAACAGATTTGAGATGTTTTTCTCCTCGCAGTCAGGTCTTTCATTTCTCTTCAGCATGGACATGCAGTTCCGAAAGAACCTCGCCACATCTACAAGTGCATCTTCTTCGTATCGGACAAACTCGCTGTTTATCGCATGCTCAATCTGATCAATGAAAATATATTCGTTTTTCCCAAACACATGCATGTAAATCATCTTTGCAAGCATCTCATTCACCATGTTCTTAAACTCAGTGTTTGCATCTCTGATTTTCATGTTATTGAAAATGCACATAGACCCTACACTCAAAATAGCGTATGAAATTCCATGCAGCACAGCAAGTGCATATCCAGATGATCTCTCTGGGGATTTTAGCAAGGACATGCACGTGCTTTTCTGGCTGCATATGGTGCAGTTTTTTTTGTTCGATTTGTTTAGAGAATTTCCTGGGCATATTCCGCACCCAGACACTCCAATGTATCTGCAGTTGAATATTTCATAAATAATTTCATCTATTATAAACACACCACAGTAGCAGCAAAAAGCTGCCATCTGCAGGTGGCTTGGATCAAAGTCATCTAGGTTTATAAAGATCGAGTGCTCAGTTCCTTCAAAGTGCTTGTATGCATGGCTGTTTCCTTTCATATCATACCTCTGTCTACCGCAGAAAACAAGACCGCACACAATACAAAGCCATCTGTTTTTGCGCAGAGAGCATAAGCAGCACTCACTTTCTTCGTAGTCTATGGTCATCCTGGATATTTGGTTTGCAACTCTGTTCATTTCCTTGAACACTTTGAAAATATGCATGCACGGAGGAAATACACTTTCCTTTTTTATAAGACAGGCTGCCAGGCACTTGCATTTGAGAACCTCCAGAGAGCCTTCTATCAGGAAACAGTCGTTTGTTGTAATCTGCGCGTACATTTTTTCGTTCTCTTTTATTATCTCGATTGGGTACTGAGTGTGTTTTTCAAAGATATGAAAGACTGCGTGCTTTCTGCATAGTTCTGCCCCACAAGAGCAAATAGCAACAATGTTCCTGTAGTCTGAATCCAGGCACTGCATGCACTTTCCCTTCAAGAATCCAGCCAAAAACTTCATGTCTGCAATATACTTAAACATTTTATAAGTTTGCCATCAATCAAACTGATGCATTTTTATTCATTGAATAATTTATAGAAGAGAAGTGTTGCATCAGACTGCAGCAGCTCCTGTATTCCTGTCTTTTCGTTGTCGTGCACTACATACGCATTTTCTTGAGTGATTGGTGTGCACTTTCTGTGCTTTTTATTGGTGCTTGCAGATGATGCGTCTGCGTCATCCTCCTTTTTTTCTGCGCACACCTCTTCTTCTAGTTTGGCATGCAGTTCTTTCTCCTTTTTTTCAAAGTCCTGAAAAAGAGACTTCCCTAGCTTGCATTCTGCAAGGGGCACCTGCACGACGTAATGCCCTGCCTGGGGTGTGCCCTTATGGATAATTGCTGCCTCTAGCCGGTATTGTATATTCTTTCCGGGTAGGCTTTTTACATTTAAAATATCTGGAATAGTCCTTTTTTCGTTGCTGTTTACATCTTTGTTTATTCCAACTGTCAGTATTTTAGGGGGTTTTGTCAGATATGTCTTTCTTTTTTTTCTTTCTTTGCACTCGCATACAGCAGGCAGCATCTCAGGCGAGAATATTTCCTCCACTTTCTGCTCTGACCCTATGTATATAACTGGGCCAATCTCCTCCTGCGATGTAAAAGTGTTGCAGCTGTCGCAGACAATGTGAATTTCCTGTCTGATTTTAAAGCACTCGTGCAACTCTGAAAAATGTCCCATTTCACTGTAGCTTTCTACAAGCATAAGCATGTCTGTGAGGTACTCTGAAGCATCTTGCTGTGTTCCTATGACATATCTTGGGTACATGCTCTCAATCACTTTGCACAAACTATTGACTGAGAAGCTTTCAACCTTAGTCTTGTGCGATAAGTCTACTTGTTTAATCACTTTCCTGAACTGGCATCCAAAGCACTCCTTTGGTCTTTCACATTCTGTGTAGTAAATTGGCTTGAGCATATTCATGCACCCAGCCGCAGAGATGCAGTATGCCACAGCCTGCAAAACAGATGAAATGTAGCACGTATTCCCTAGGTCAACTATTCCTCCTTCAGACCACACAGTCTTATACGGTATAATTTGTGTTGTGCTTTCTTTCTCTAAATCACGGGATATTTCTTCTGTCTTGCTATTCAGTCTTCTTGCTAGTTCCAGTGTATTTAGCACTGGCTCAGCATCTGCTTTTGCAACTTCTTCATTGCAGGCATCTTCTTTATGCTTTTCACTATGAATATTATTTGCATTTGGTATGAGATTTCTTATGTATGGATATATATCATGCCCTACCATGCTCTCGCACTTATAACAATACACATCAACAATCTTCTTATTGCTGTCTATATTCTGCACTTTCAGATATGTACAATGCTCATTATCCTCCATATAGTGCTTCATTCCGTGTCCTTTTCCTTCTATTCCATACTGTTCCCGTCCACAGAATACCGTACTGCACTTCACACACGCCCAGGAGTTGCTGTTTATATCGCAATTTGTACAGGTGGCACTTTCTATGCGTATTTCCTTGTCTACATTTATATGTGGGCACTTTTTTATCTGTGCACCTTCTACAACGGGTGTAAACAGGCACTGCCTGATTTGACTCTCAAGAGATTCTTTCTCTATCTCCCTTTCAGAGCTTTCTATTTTTATTTCAATATCAGGCATTTTTCCTGTAATAGTCACTAATATCCTTTTGTGGTCATTCTCCATATGATATTTCACATGTGCATTGCAGAATTCTGTTCCGCACTCGCAGTATGTAATTGGCTCATTAAACACATTTCTAAAGCAGAAGGTGCAGTGACCCGTAAAGTCATGACAAGAAAACATTATGAAAGAATAAAATATTTTTTTATTTTATACCCCCAGATGGAAGTTGAGCAAAAAATCCAGCCAGAAGTAGAAATTATAGAAGCAGAAGCACCAGCAGAAGTAGTTGAGAAGGTGCAGGAGAAGATAGTCTTTGGAGTGGCCCATATTTACGCCTCCCACAATGACACCTTTGTCCACATAACTGATTTGACATCCAGAGAAACCATATGCAGAATAACTGGAGGTATGATTGTTAAAACAGATAAAGACGAGAGCAGTCCATATGCTGCTATGTTTGCCGCCCAGAGAGCTGCAGAGCAGGCAAAGGCTGCAGGTTTCAATGCTGTGCACGTAAGAGTAAGAGCCAGCGGAGGAGTAAAGACAAAGACCCCAGGACCAGGAGCACAGAGTGCACTCAGATCTCTTGCTAGAAATGGGCTAAGAATTGGAAGAATTGAGGATGTCACACCAATTGCAGCTGATAGAACAAGAAAGAAGGGAGGAAGACGTGGAAGAAGACTATAATTGATCTCTTTCAATATTTTCTTATTAAATGCTAGTTAATTTTACTCTTTATATTGCACTATTTATACTTTTATAAATTACGAGGAATTCCTGCTAGAAATGACTCCATATACGCATCTGCCAATAGACCATCCTAAGAGTCTTTTTGCAAAACTCCCAGAAAAGAGACTAGGACTACAGGAGACAGCCAGAGCACAAAATAATTGAAATAGCTGTGCAATATGTTTTCCTGTGGGTTTGCACGTAATGGCATATGATCTGGCTGTGCTATTTTCTTTATTGAATTTACAGAAGTCTTCTGTTAATGTGATAAGTATGGAGTATGCATGAATATACTTGGTCTATACTACAAATTATAAGTATTGTCTAAACTGAGTGTTTATGCTATTTGTCTGTCTCTTTATGGATATTTCTATAATTTTGGTTATATTTTGGTCTTTGTGCATATATACACCTGTACTCTTTTCTTGTATTATAACGCGAATATTTTCATGCAGACAGAAACAGTTTGAATTAATAATTTGAATGAATTTCTGCCTATAGAAGGACTGTGCATGACAGCAGACTAATATTATGCACTCAATGGATTATAGTGTTATTATGTCTCAGTAGATTATTCTGTCTCAATTAATAAGTATATTTAGTTTAAATTAAGCATGTCTTTGTGCTGCAGTATAAGAATAGAATGGAAATAGTTCTATGCAGGCAATTATTGACAGTATATAATAAGTATATGGCGATAAAATGCTGTGAAGGAGTACGGTGTATCTCTTTATTAGTAATTATCTATCTTCTTCCATACTTCTCTTTAAATACCTGCAGTGGAATCTTTTGCATTGCAAATTGCCATGGTCTCTGCACTGCAAATACTCCATTCTCTTCACTTACGCTTGCACCATCTATTACTGCAGACATGTCTACTATTTTCTTCTCTTCCAGGCCTTGCAGCACTATGAGCTCCTTCTGGCTTACAATAAATACTTCATTGTTGCATATCTGCATATCAATAATTTGTGTCTTAAATACTACGCCTGTCTCTCCTATTTTCTCTCCTGAGGTACTAAACAAAGAGACTACTCTGCTGTCTTTCAGGCCTGCCTTTCTATTCTGGCCTAGCCCATATACTTTGTCACCGAATATATGACTGATAAAGTACTCTGTCTCTTTGGAGGATATTCTCGTGCACTCAGAGGTTATGCTATTAAAGATCACTATGTCAGACCCGGATATCAGAACTTCCCCATTCTTTCTTCCCTTTGCAATGTGCGTAGGAACAAAGTCTATTCCCAATTCACTTAGTACCCACTCTCTGCAGGGTGTCTCTGTGCCTTTACTTTTATTTAGATCTTCTAAAGTTAAAATAAGCCTTTTCTTCTTTTCCATTACGCACCAGACTTGATTTTCTATCACTGTATGGTACAGTACAAGACCTCCTATTTGCAGGGTTACTTTGACAGATGCACTCTCTTGGTCATACTCGTATGCTCTGACGCCTTCTTTTGTTCGGATAACAGAAAGAGTATCCACTGACTTTATGTCAAGTATAGGGCTCTTTGCTATATGCTTAAAAATACATTTGCTCCTTATACTGTCACCTGCAACTTCAGGCTGCTCTACTTTGAATATTTCCATTTCCTCACCAGATGCCATGTACACCTTGTTATTTGTGCAGGCCACAGGATATGCAGGATACTTCTGCAGAGTGAGTCTTTTTTCTGTTTTATACAGGTGCACGACGATCAAAACACCTGACTCTGAGGCCAGAACTATATTTCCATTGGACTCTCGCATAAATAGCGCATCACTATAGCACACATCATCCTGGGACTCCTTTATATAGTGTTTATTTGTCTTCATGTAACAAATAATTCTTGAGTCTGCTCCTGCCATGTACACTTTCTCTCCCATTGTGCACATAGTATTCAGAGAACTATTTCTGACATTTACTGTCTGATGGATCACGCCCTGCTGCAAATCTACCACATGGAAATTTCCTTCTATTGTGCAGCACCCATACTCATCGCCTACAATATGCACAAGCTCCATTACAGTCTCAGCACTTTCTTTATTTTTGCTCAAGGCTATGTCCATTACACCCCTGCCATTTTCTATTTTAATAACACGCCCATCATGCGTTCCTAGAATAAACTCTCCTTTATTGTGGCCAAAACATGCTGCACTAATGTACCCATTGTATCTATACACGAATTCTCCATTTACGAATACCTCTGAGCCACCCTCTGCCAGACTGTAGAGAACCATTCTGTCTCCTCGGTGACAGAGCACTTTCCAGACGCCTTCTTTCTTTTCTCTTTTCACTGTGAATGTGAGAGTGTCTATGCAGGCTATTCCTTCCGTCAGCGAACCAACTATTAGGACATCACCGTTAAAGTCCATTGTCTGAATGTCCCTCATTCCTATGTCAATTCTGGCGAGGCTGAATAGGTGTGGGTTACTGAATATTTCTATCACTCCACTTGCGTATGCAGTTCCAATATATTTATTGCTTACTGCTAGACCAGAAATGCTCTCTGGCTGTCTTGCTTCTCCTCTGTAGAGCACTAACTGCATTAAAATTTTTTTCTCCAACTGTATTATTTTCTATGGTTAAATCTATGTTTTTCATTCTTCGAGGCATTTTTCCTGTGCATTAGTTGTTATTCATGTTTTTCTATCTCTTGCTCTGTGTCTTAATTTAATATCTGAAAATCTATTTAAATCCCAAAAAATTATAGAATAAACAAAACAAACGCGCAGAATGAGCAAGAGAGCATTTTTATCGGTAGATAAAATATTAAAAACAGAGCTACAGAGAAAGAAGATTGTAATTTTGGTGGCGACTCAATGTTCTATTCTTTTTATGCTTATATTCTTTTTATTTAGACGGAAAAATAATTTCATGGGGGCATTGCAGCATACTCTCATTTTGGACAAGATGTATGATCTATTTGATCAAATCAACAGTGAGGTGGATGACTGCTTGAAGAAGCCAACACGAAAGGAGCAGAACCTGGAATTTTCAAAGATTGAGATATTGGATCTAGACCCTATTAGACTTTCTGAAATGACAGCTGTTTTTGAGCTGAAAGGAAACATAAGTGACTACATACTAATTAAGGGGGAGAATGAGAGCGCGCCAAGTGTCAAGATGGAGAAGATAATTGTAAAGCGAGTGATTCTGAAGATAGAAAACTCCCCAGAGGAGGAACGAATATCCCTAATTGTTGACAACCCGCACATTATGAAAACACATTTTACATACAGGTGTAACTATATTAATCACAAAGGCGTAGACCAGAAGCTGCTTTGGCTATTCATTGAACCATTGAATGTAAAGGTCTCCATTAAGGAAAACGGAAAGAAAGAAGATGAGATTAGGCACATAATGAAGGACACTTTGAAAGGGCTTTCATACCTGCACAGCAAGAACATAGCCCACTTAGACCTCAAACTGTCTAATGTCATGGGGGAAAGACGCGAAGACAATTCTATTATTTATAAAATTATAGACTTCGGGTTTTCAAGAGAAATTCCAAAGAACAAGGTTGAACAAGTCTATCCAAAAAGATGCTATGGAACATTCCCATACAAGCCGCCTGAGGTGTGGGTGTCAAGCATCCATGGGCTATCTTCTGACATCTGGTGCATTGGTGCAATGTCTTTATTTTTAGCGAATAAAAAGTCCTCCTACTTCCAGAAGAAAACATCAGGTGATGCAACAGGTAATGCAAAGGATTATACTGAGTTCAGGAGCTTTTTAGATGGAAGGCTATTTATAAAGATAGACACAGATACATCACCAGAATTAGTGTCTTTTATAAAGACGTGCATGCGGCGAAACAGAGAAGAAAGGCCCACTGCAGAGCAGCTTCTAAACCACGAATTTATTCAGGGAAAATCTCTTTCTATAGAGGCAGCCAGGAGTATCCGGTATAATATTTAAATAAAAAGTATATTACTTAGCCAAATACAGTAGGTTGTTTATTCTTTCCATCCATGCTTTCTCTAAAATATCGGGTTATATGGCTGCTGATGCATTGTATGTGCTTAATGTGGCAGGCACATAAATATAATTATGTGTCTCCAGATATAATAAGCAGACTAATTGCCATATTCTATTCTGATGCCTCAAAATAAGTTCTTTCAGTGACTGTATTTTCTAAAAGTCTCTATATTATCTTAATAGAAAAATATATTGAAGTGTTTATTTTCTTGTTTATTCCAGATATAAATATTATTTGCTGTACAAAGATATAAGACAAAAGTAATATGTAGACAGCAAAAACAACTTTATAAGCACTTATACACAGAAGGTCTGCACATTGGAAATTCATTTTCTCATGCACCCATACGAATATACTCTGAAGGAAAATAGTCTATACAGGAATATATTCCCATGCTTCTTCTCATAGACCTGGCTGCAGAACCAGTTGTAGTAAAATAATCACAAAAAGAACTGCTATAGAATAAAGACAAGGCTATAGTGTTTTATATTCTACAGTAGAAGCATCTACTATAGAGAGAAGTTCTTTCATATCCTGGTGCTGCACGGATTTCTACTGTATAGAAAAATCCTTATGCAGACTATAATATGCCAAAAATTTTATGAAGTCCATAAAAACAGAAGTCTCCACATTCGCAGAGCAAGAAATGCATATAATATCAGCAGTCTGAAGTGTGCAAATATCTAGATATAAATTAGTTGAAAAACAAAAAAATATTTTCATGTCAGCGGGTAGCATAGAGGAAAAGAATGAAATTCTAAACATCCAGATGGGAGACATCATAGCACACGGAGCGACCTCAACTGTAAGAAAAGGAAAAAGCCCAAGTGGGGCAGAATATGCCATAAAAATTATATTTGCAGATAGTCTTACACGAAAGCAAGAGGCAAAAAAAGAAGCATCTATTCACAGGGCACTTGCCCATAAGCACATTGTGAAACTGCAGAACTTCTATCTTTCTAAGACGCATGCGTACTTAATCATGGACTATGCTGCAAGGAATGAGCTATTTATGTATATAGACCCAGGAGCAGGTTTGCCTGCTGACATATGCCACCTGTACCTCAAACAGTTATTTTCCGTTATAAAATACATACACAGCAGAGGAATATGCCACCGAGACATAAAGCCAGAAAACATTTTACTTGACAGCAACTACAACCTGCTCTTAACAGACTTTGGGTGCTCAACAATTTACAGAGATGTAAATGGGCGCAGACCGCTTACTAAGCAGTGCGGAAGCCAAAACTACATGGCACCAGATATTCACTATGGAAAGTACGACGGAGAGCTGGTGGATGTCTGGTCATTTGGAATGGTATCTCTTGTGCTTCTCACAGGAGTAGTCCCGTGGGAGAAGCCAACCACAGACGACAAAGAGTTTGAGAGATTTCGAATTAGCACATTCCGAGACTACTCGCCCTTCAACCTTCTCAGCAAAGATAAGCTAGAGATGATTGAAAAGTGCATATCCGTTAGTCCAGAAAGAAGAATCCGCCTGAGCCAGCTGAGTGAAAATGCATGGCTTGCAGCACCAAACCTCTATATGGGCCCAGATGGTCTAGTAAGATCCCCAGAGATTGTTGCAGCAAAACTAGTGCCTGCAGAGGCAGCAGCCTTCACACAGCCAGACATGTGCATCTCTCCTGTTGGCAGAGAGTGCTCCTCGCAGCCCGTCTTTTTAAGCTACGACACTTTCCCAATGGCAACAAGAATATACAGCTGTGCCTTAGTAAGTGTAAGCCAGAAAATACTCTGCAATGCATTTTCTGATGTTCTTATTCCATATAAGGCAACAGGAAATATTATTTCATTCACAACAGTCGACAACTCCAAGAATATTATCACAGGAGAGGTGTATCTCAGGAAAAGTGGAGCAGAGACACTCATAATATTCCAGAGAACAAGAGGTGACTGCCTAGAGTACAAAAAGCTGTTTAACGTTATAAAGGACCGATTTATGAGGAATTTTGAAAACTATGCGAATAGATAGTGTAATCTAACATAAAGAGGGCTAGTGGGTTTTCAGCATAGAGATAGCTATAATTTACAGGCTGCTAAATAAAGAAATTTGCTTAAGTATAGCTTATTTGTAATTCTCAATAAATTATGCTTATACTAGTAGTACAAAATATTTTTATATTTGCATGCTTTCAGAGGCACCTTCGTCTATTCATCCAATTCTAAAGACAGTTCTGCCAAATGGACTTTCCATTTTGCTTAAGCCAATGGCAGTGGAGGGATCTTTAGTTGGGCTGGTGATAAAAGGAGGTTCAATTGAAAATCGAAGACAAGGATATCCGGATGGCACAGCGCATCTTCTGGAGCATGCTCTAATCGATCAAATCAGTCCAAGAATAAGAGAAGAACTGCATATTAATGGGAAAACATCAAACACGCACGTGTCTATATACGGATACAGCCTGCAAAGCAAATCAAATGAGATTGTACAAGAGCTACTTTCCACTGTAAATAAACCAGTTACAGAGAAAAATATAACAGAGGAGATGCCAAGAATTCTGAGAGAGATAGAACAAGTCAGAGAGACATCTTCAGATCATAAAGAGAAATTTATCTCAGCAGTGCAAAAGGACACAGCAATTCATAACTCTACAATTCTTGGCACTGAAAAGACTCTGCAGCATGTCACAAAAGGCCATCTGCAGAAATTCCTTAATAGCACACTCATTCCAGGGAATGTATTACTTGTGGGAATAGGGAATCTGGATATTCCGGAGATACTGAAGACAGCAAATTCATTCCAAATCCCAAAGTTAGTTCCGTGCAAAGATTCTGCTGCATCAGATGCACAAATTCCAGGTGAAAGCACAAAAGAACCTATTAATAAAGTGCAGAATAGAAGTAGCCATGGAGAGATTCTAGTTGGGTATAAAATTCCATGGAAAAGAGATATAAAGGCATATGCTGCATATCTGGCCATATCCTACTCTATTCAGAAGAATCTTGATCCAGAACTAAAAATAGTGCCGCACTTAAGCTACACACAGGAGGGAGGACTGCTCTATTTTTCACTCCCCAGAGAGAAATATACCAGCAAAGAAGAATTTACTTCTACAATAGAACAAGCATCAAAAAGCGTCCTAGAAGACATATATAAGATTGCACCATTGAAAGAGAAAGGACTTTCTCTTCCTCTTCTAGAAGTGCCTTGCTATCTTTTTTCAATAGGCTTGGGAACTCTCACAGTAGATGATCTATTTAAGGAGGTTCAGAACCTAAATAAGTCTGACATTTCAGACGGACTAGCAATATTTACTACATCTAACTGCCATGTATCTACAGAATATGATAATCTGCAGATTCCTGCAAAAGATCAGAAATAGCAACTGCTTTTAGAAAGAGAGGCATCATGTGCAAAGATGCATAGAAAGAAAGAATATAAGATTTAAACATTAATGTTTATTATGATGGTGGGCTATGCAGCCACTTCATCCCGATTAAATGCAGTAACCTAATTAAGACCTAGATCCTTTGCCTGATTTCTTTTTTGAGCCACTCCTAGATGGATTTGAGGTTGCCTCATCCCCTGAGCCAGCTCCTGCTCCTTCTTCACTAGCATTAATTGCTGCTCCTGATTGCTGTGCACCTGCACTTACACCTGCAGCCTCTGATGAGCTTGCATCGGCTTTTTCTGCACTTGCAGCCTGCACTGAGCCTGCACTGGCTGCCTCTGCTGAGCTTGCACTGGCTGTCTCTGCACTTGCACTCTCCTGCTGTGCGCTTGCTGCTTGTTCTGAAGATTCTGATCCACTTACCTCAGCAGATTCTTCAGTTACCTCAGAGGATTCCTCAGTTACCTCAGCAGATTCTTCAGAGCTACTTTCAGAAGACATGCTAGCAGATTCTTCTGCTCCGGCAGATACTGTGAAAGTGAAGAATGAGAGTATAAGTAATCCAAATATTAAAGCTAATGTTTTGTTCATTATACTTTCTAAATCAATCCAGGTTATATAGATGCAGTCTTTCAAAATACATTCTGATTGATGACGGTTTTCTCGTTTTTATTGATCTATTTTCAAAGGATCAGTTACCTTGTTATAGAGAGAACCTATCTTTTTATCTTCCTTCTGATTTGTTCGTTTCGCTAAAATATTTGGCGAACCAAAGCATACTATGACCTAAAGAATTCCTGCACTACCTTTTTTGCCTTTTCTTCTGCCGATTTGTCACCACATGGGAACTTTCTCACTACGTTTCCATTCCGGTCCTTTGCAACCACGGCATTATAGTGCGACCCTGAGTACGAGAGATACACAACTGACCTGAACTCGTCTCCGAATTCATAGAGCCTTTGGGCATTATCAATGACAGTGACCTTAGTTCTGTATATCTTTGATATAATGGTTATTTCAGTTGCACCTCCCCAGATGTCTGGCTGCACTATCCATGTGGAATACTCAAAAGGTGTTTTTTCAATGTAGGACATGAACTTCTTTGGGTGCTGCAGAATTTCATTAGCAACCATTTTCCGCAGCTCACTGCTGCTCTTTGCATTCAAAAGCTCACTGAGTGAGTGAAAAAGGCATGAATTATCACTTGGTACCTCAAAGATAGAGAACACCATATTTTCATCTGTCAGGGTATTTACAGTTGTTTCTACCGGCCCCTTCACTTCCTTTGAGGCCTCTGCATAGATGCATTCAAGGTCAGTGAATGTCTCCATGATAGGACAGTCTGCCCTCTCAACCAAGCACTTTGGAACTCCCTTGAAAAGGAATCTTTTACTTCCTACTTTACTCTCTATTCCTTCGTACAGATCAGATATTGTTTTTGTTCCTTCTATCTCGTATATAAAAGACCTGGTATCATCTATTATTTTGAATCGCATTCTGCAGAAATACAAATATTTTCATTTATGGCTCTTTTTATTTGTTCTGCTGTACATAAAGGCGCCATTAATGCATATGTCCAGAGCTTTTGGAGTGAAATTTAATATGTATCTTCTACAGGCGAAAAGTTCTCTTTTAACAAGATATATACAGGGAATAGTGCAATTATCAGATATAAATCAAAAACAAGCAGTAAAGTAAGAGAATAGTAGTATACTAAACGGTTCTAGATAATTGCACCATTCTATTATTTAGCATTCCCTGTTTAGTGCATATTTTAGTGCTATTTTCCTCTGATCTGAAAGTATCCTAATTTTCAGATTCCAACTAGCATAGAAGTTAGTTCATTCTTCATAGCAAGTATGAGTATTTATTCTTTCTATTTTTTGCCTCTTCCTTTAAGGGGCACTTATAGGTCTTGTGTGCATCTTTGTTTTAAAATTAAAGCAAGGCATATTTTAGCCACTAATCCTTAGTAAATCCAGGAGACAGCACTTCTTCCTTACAGAACTACCTTGAGTTTCTATTCCTGTTATAATTGAAGTAGTCACATAATTCTTAAAGTACAAAAAATCAGCATGTAAATATAGGCATAAACAAGACTAAAACCTTACCTGCAGTTATCATAGAATGTGCATATGAAGTAAGGCACATAGAAGTTCTTTAATAGCCAGAAATATAAGTGTATATAATTATGGAGCATTTTATGTAAATATGATCTATCTTTATTCCTTATTTAGCTAAAATATAGACGAGTAAACTTCAGTTGGTATTTCTGATGATAAGTTATCTTAAAGATGAGTTTTTCACTCTTTGACAGTTTTTTTACTGGTGACATTTCCTCCAGATGGGCCTGCTTGACTGAAGACACTTTAATAAGCACACTTTCTTCAAGACCATAGATTCTCTTTATCTCCATTGCAGTTTTCTTTTCCTCCAAGTCAATTATAAATGGGTACCCAATGGTTTCGCTGCTGTACTTCATGACTGCCTCGATCTTTGTCTTTCTATCTATCTCCTGGACAGTTAAGAATGCCATGTTATTTAGGCTAATTCTGCTGCTGCTAGGCTTGTAAGTAGTAATTTGCTCAACTTTTGCATAGGCTTTCAGGATGCGCGTATTACTTGTGGTTTCTTCTGGCTTCACACCAAGCATTGCAAGCACCTCCTCTCCTTTGACCATATCTGGAAGGATGTATGCCTTTTTCTCAACAAGATTAATGTTCTGTGTTTTATCCCCAAGTGCCTGCATGTACACAAGAACCATATTCTCGTCTAGCTCTATCTGGACTTTGTTGTCTTTTACTTCTGACAGTTTGAATTTGTCTGAGCACAGGCTTTTCTGAAGCATTTTCTCTATTTCATCCTGCGTTGTATCAAGGGGCATCCAGTGGTTGCTGACTCGCTCCTGCTTGTGCATGAGGGTAAGTATTTTGTGGCAGGATATCTGCTTAAAGTACTCTGTCACAGCCTGCATGCCTGCGTCCATAATAATAACCCCTGAGTCGGCCTTAAAGAGCTGTTGAAAGGTCATATTGTCCTCTATTTCTCTTGGTTTTCCGTTTATCTCTGCCAATGGAGGCACTGCCAGGTTATATCCTGCCTTTATCCATTCTTTGACACAGGCATTTTTGTTCACCACAAGCGCAGACTTTATTTCCACAAGCACCTTAAGATTGTACGGCTGTTCTTTGACTTTTGCCTGCTTGATGAAGAGAATAAAGGAGTCTTCTCTTGTTATGTTATTATCTGCCTCTATTGCGAATAAGGAGTGGCTTGCTAGATCTGCCACTATTTCCACCTGCTTAATTTTCTGGAGAGAGAACATTCCATTTATGCTCTGGAATGAGTATAGAAGGACAGAGTCAATTGATGCATTTGGCTTTGACAGGAGCTTTTTTGCTTGGGCTATCACCTGGTTGTAAGACTGTGAGTTTTCCAACTCAATCACACCCGGGGCTGCCTTCAAGTACTGTCTGCCTGCTGTAAAATACCCCAGTCCCCAATATCCTTTCATTACACTGGGCACATACACTTCCAGTTTTACCTTAATTGACAGAAATCTTTCCTTTTCAATTGAGTCTTTTATCTCCTCAGGAACTTTTTCTATTGAAGAATTCAAGAACTCGTCCATCTGGGATGTCCGTACATAGACCAGGTAATACGCATTTGCAGATCTCACCTTATTCTTGTATCTGTGCCTTCCCCCAAATGTCTCCTGTATTGCCTCTTCCTCCATGCACTTTGTGACATACGTGTCATTGAACTTGTACCACCCGTCTTTCTTTCTTATATACGCATAGTAGTGTCCCTCTGACATTCCACTTCCCATGTGAACATTCACTGTGTACAAACTGTACCTATTGTCGACTGTTTTGTCAGGTGTGTACAACGACAGGTCCAGTTCCTTTGGGAAAGAGTAGTAATTGTTCACCTTGTATACGTCTCCTGTGTCATAGTCCATGTTAAACCTCTTTATCTGCAGGAACAGAACAGGCGGGAATGTCTTGCAATAATCTGACTTTGTTGCCTCAATGTACCCGTGGTTCTCGCAGTGGTACAAATTTGGTGCCTTCAGATGCATTGTGCTAATATAGTTATGAAGAGAGTCTTCAAGTGATGTCCTTGAGTTCTCCATATATGGAAGGTCCATGACCAACTGCAGGTCATTATACTTTTCTGTTATTTCCCGAACACACCCTTTGTCACACCGGATGGTTGTTCCAAGTTCTCCATAGAAGGTGTCTTCAATGTACTTGAAGAAAGGAGTTCCCTTTGCCTCTTTTTCCAGTTCATCAAGCAGAAACTTAAAGAACTCCTGGACATCCTGCTGCTCATCAATGTCTTCATTCTTCAGCTTAAACGCATTTGTGAATTCCTTTGTGTCCACGTATGTTGTGTCCTTGCACAGCTGATAGAATAGTCTTTGCATCTGTACAGTCTTTTCACCAGGTGGCTGCTGAAACAGCTCCTTAACAAACCCCTTTATGTGAAAGAGTGTCTGTATTATAGAGTTTAGGTAGCAGGTTGCCCCTAAGTTTATCAATCCTGTGTACGGAGTGTCCTTCTTGGCTTCATAGCACCGGACAGCTGATACTATCTTGACCATAACCCTTTTCTTTTCCTTAGGCTGTACCTCTATCCCGAAATCCAGCTGTGACCCAAATCCAAATGTCACTTTTCTCTCTTCTATTTCTCCATCCGCATATTCTATATACAGAATGTAATCTGTAAACACTTCAAATGTCAAATATCCAAAGTATTCCAAGTACAAATATGGCCTTTCCACTGAAATAAGGCATAGCCTCCAAGTATAATTATATGAGGTAAAGTACTCACTGAAGATATTCTTGTCTCCCCATTGATGCTTTACCTTCCACTCATAACAATAGTCATTCATTTTATAAAAATAAGAAAATTATTTTGTTTTACTTATAATAACAGCCCTGTTTCATAGTTGTACAATAGAGGGGTCTTGTAGATTGATGTTTGATTTTTTATGTTGACAACAATAATATGCATTTTGTTTATGGTTACTGTGTGATAAGTTTAAATATTTTGTGAAAATGTGTTATTAAGGGTTATTATGGATTCGTGTGTAAGGGTAGTCTACTGGTGTAAATAAATATATAGATAAGTTTGGGTGGGAGTGGTAATCTATGAAGGCAGATGAATCTGTGTGGTTATTTGTTATTGTTGTCCAAATTACTTTGTATAATGTGGTTTTAATTAGTGTCAATATTTGTTTTAATTTAATTTAACCCAAATTTCTTTAAAATTATAAATTAAGTTCTTGCTGCTGGAATATAATTATACGAAGTGTTTATTGCGGATGTATGGATAGGTAACCATTCTGTAACTAAAATATAAATATTTTGCTAATTTCTTATTTTTGGCTGCAAATGCATATATGAGTAGATTACTGTTATGGCCAGGGAGACACTTAGGAAGCCCCAGAACATGCACATGGTTTTTGCAATATAAGCAATAGATATATTCTTTAAGAGCTTGTCTGGGTTGAATATTTCGTGTGCTAGGTTAACAGTGTTTACAGCTGTTTCAATTTTTTCAATGAACAGTAGCTTCTCCTGGTTGATTTTATTTCGTGTAAGGAAGAGCTGCCTTGCCAAATTGTGTACTTCATAGGCTAATCTTATGTCAGTTTTGTCGAACTGTCTGATCTGCTCAGGACTCATTGTCAGATTATTCTGGTACAAGTTTATCTTCTGCATGAGATGTGTGAAATAGTTGCTGGGGGATGTTATAAGGACAAATCTCATACATTTCACAATGAAGTGCATAATTTGAAAGATTACTGGGTGTGTTTTGTCTGACATGCCAATGCGGCCCATTAAATTCTTGATGAAGTGAGAATTCTCAGATCGGAATATGTCTATCTCCTGTATAAAGCTAACTGGGTGGGCCATTGGGCGTATATATACATATACCTGAGATGGAATAATCAGGGTGAATAGCGAGTATACAAATACCCCCAAGCCGTACAGTTTCTGCGGAATTGGTGCAAGGTTAAACATAAGAGAGACTGCTCCAGTTAAAAGAGAGCTGAGGAAGAGTAAACCAATGGATATTGTGTGGTTAACTGTAATTTCGCTCTTTATCTCCACATCAAGGCTTCTGTATAAAAAGATGTACAGCGCGGTTTTGAAGATAAAAATAAGCAGAGACTTGCGCACGAACACATCCAGAGCCTGTGCTACTAAAAAGTCGCCAACTGTTAGCTGCTTATTTTTTATGTTAGCCTTGCACACGTTATAGAATTCTACTCCTATCATTGGACTAGGTAAGGATATAGACAAAATATACAGCAAGGTAGCCACAGGCGTATATACGACCTGAATAGTGTGCACCCAGCAAGCATTGCTTACTACCTTTAGAACATCACACACACTCTGTATAAGATCTTCATCTTCTGGAGTTCTTTCCATTATCTGAGCCTTTATGCGCAGCAGCTTATAGACGGTATCAAACGATGGGACATTTGCATACTTATTGATTTCATCTCCAGGCGAAATGCTGTACAGTATCAAATATATAATAAAAACCCCAATGGAACCCCCTACAGTTGCCATTAGAATATCCACTATAAGACTGGCTCCCTTGAATGCCCTGTCAAAGTAGAAGAGCCTTCTGAATATTTCAAGCACCCGCACATAAGAGACCTTCATTTCATCTGGGTTCCACCATACATTGTGCTCTCTCAAGGCCCCCTTACGTACCTTGATAATTTCTTGTGTTGCGCGGTTGAATACTTCTATATTCCTTCCATCAAGCGCATTTGATCTGTTCTCTGCGCAAAGTTGCATAATATAGTTCACGTAGAAGGTATCGGATGGAAACTCAATTCCCATGCTGAGAAAGTGCTCCTTCATACAGGAGGCAGGCCCGGCATACACAACAGTTGACCGGTGCATAAGAATGACGTGGTCAAATCTCTTAATTAGGTCCTCAGAGATCTGGTGCGCAGACACTAGATTGGTTGCCTTGGTGTCCTTTATCATTGATATGGTTATTCTGGCCATTTCTGAGTCTAGCCCTGACAGAGGCTCGTCCCATATGTTGAACTTATTTTTTGCCAGCAGACCGCAGGCTACCATTACTCTTTTTTGCTCACCTCCTGACAAATTCTTAAATGGCACCCGAATGGACTTTGCAAGTCTTAGTATTGATACAATCCTATCGACTTCTTCTGTGCTTTTCTTGTAGCATTTGGCAACTGAGCACAGTAGACTATACATGGGAATATTTCTATATTCTATTCCATGCTGCTGTGTATAGCTTACACTTGGAAGCCACTCCCTGACTATTCTCTCCTGCAGGCCACTCTCTGCTGTTCTGACAAGTATTTTCCCGTACGTAGTATGAGAAGGGGCACATATTCCAGCTAGGCTGTTCATTAAAGTTGTCTTTCCTTCTCCACTCATTCCAATCAGCGCAACTAGCTTTCCCTTTGGAAGAGATAGGGAGACTCTTCTGAGTAGGTATATATCATCCTTTGTTACGCAGTCATAATTAGTCATTTGTATGAGAATTTCATCAGGTTTTTCTTCTGTCTCTTTAATGTTCTTTGCACTTTGCTCCTTTAAATCAACTGGGCTGCTTTTTTTTGCTTTCTCTCTTGTGTCTATAAACTCGCCTTCCAATTGATTTTTACCTTCATTTAAATTGTTCTCAGGTAGCGCCTGAAATAGTATGTTGTTGCCTATATGCAGAAGATCGCTTGATACTATGTTTTTCTCTGTCTCTGTGCCACAAATGCAGCTCATTCCATTCTTACTCTCCTCTAGCTCATCTTTCACTTGCGTTTGCATTTTCTCCTATAAAATACCAAATTTTTTTCATTATGTAATCATAATTATGATATCATAAAAATACCACTAAAAAAGCATCCCAGCCTATTCTCTTCTGGAAGTATTTAGAAGCTCTTCTTATAATAGACTAATAGCCCCATATGCTTGCGTTCACTGCATGCCTTTCAGAGAAATAAATAAATTCTTAAGAGATATCTTGTTTTAAAAATCTTTGTTTAAACTATCATTCTGTTTCTTTAACAGGCAGCAATTTTCTACTGGTTTTTATACTAAAATATTTTTAAATCAAGCAGTTAAGGTTACAGTTAAAAATTGCTCATAAATTAACATAAAATCTGGAGACCGCACAGAATATAACTGTTTATGCATTCAAATAGCTTTCTAATATGGTAGTATGGCTACTGCTCTTCTCTAGAGATACAGCTGCAATTAGAGCTTCTTCAAAGACATTTTAATCCTGCACACAAAATATAGCAGCACATTACAAGATAACTACCAAGAATAATAAAACCAGCTTTAGGCTGCAGTAAACCAAATTCAGTCTGCAAATTCAAACTAGCAGGCACTTTACACGGGGTTTCTCCTTTATATCACAATATATACTAAGTTTATGCATACTGTAGACAATTCTGATGGTATACCTGACTATACACCAATTTCAATCCACTTTATCTCTTAATATAGCATAAATAATCTATTAGATAATTTGGATTATATAAAATTATGGTAAAATTCCCACTTCTCAATCACAGGGCTATAAAATTACTAATATAAAAGAAAATAATTCTAGAAAATATATGAATAAAAGAAACGGTATATAACCCCATGCGAATATTAAAATAAGTGATATATGCTAATTACCAAGAAAAACTCAAGTAAAAAAGCAAGAAATTGCAGTACACCCAGATATCTAAATATATGAATAAAACTCCTTTGACAACAACTCCCTCTACTTTACACTGCTCTTCTCTAGCTAAAACACTGCCCGTGCCTGGGCACATAAATTAGTAAGAGCTGTCAGTGTATTGTAACAAGTTCTGCATGGGATTTGGTCTTCAAGAAAGTTGAAGTGCAGGTTCTCATTGTAGTTTATTAAAGGAGCATCTTCTATTTGCATAATTTCAGGATGCATATACTTATGTATATCTATTTCTGTATATTTATGCTAGTATCAGCTCTCCTTAGCTTTCCAAGCACATGCACCAAAAATTGCACTTATTCTTAATGAATATTTATTCCTAGCACTAGAAATATCATATCCTGTGGCCTCATGGGATATAACCAAATGGATAAGCTACTCGCCATGTAAGGATATTTCTGCTGCTTCTGTTGCATTTATACCTGCAGTTGTGTTAATCACAGATGCATTTGATATCTCGTAATACGTTTTTGCAAAACCTGTTGAAACTAGGAGCATAAAGCCAAATAGTAAGACTGTGATAACTATGTTATCAAACCATCTTTTATTTTTCTTTGCGCTGATATGCCGGTTGTGGTACAGCAAAATAGCTGGCACAAGAATTGAAATGAAAGATGCAATAACTGCCCCGGATAGCTGTATAATAAGAGTTAAGTCTAGCCCAATAATAGCCAAAACTGTTGTAAGAGCAAATATAACAGAACCAACTACATACCTCAGAACAGTGTCACTCTCATTCTCGCTACCATCCAGGCTACTTTCTGTGTCATCTTTGTACACTCCTAGTCTTTCTTGTATTCTCTTTGGAAGACGCTGCACTGCTCTATAAAATGCATTGGGAACAGTTTCAGTAAAAAAGTCTTTGGCTGCCTGGGGAATCACATCTGCCAGTTTTTCTAAGAAGGGGAGTCTTTTCTCTCCATTGTTTTTGTATCTTACTGTGTGGCAGAAGTCCATAATCAGTGCTCTGTATGTGAAAGCCTGCCACATATACGAATTTAAGAGGATTATGCTAATTGCCAACTTAAACAGAGAGACAAGAACCTCTGTTAGAATATATGCAGTTGCAAAGGACATCTTTGAGGTGCTTGCAAGAGCAAGTGACATTGCAGAGAGTATATCACTGTTTACACCATTAAGATTATTTGCAAACACTAAAAAGTATCCTTCCACACCAACTATGAAGAATGTGAAGTAGACCAAGGAAGATGTTATAGCCATAGGATACAACATGCTTCTTTTGTTCTTTAACTTCACGCGGTCCAAATAAATAGGAATATTACAATGCGAGTTCAGCCCAAAGAACGCAGTTGCAATAGACGTACAGAAGTTGAATACTGAAGGCGTCTTTCCAATAACGAGAGACCTCCATACAGACGCATCTGGCATTTTTAGCTCAAAAACATTATAGAATATGACAAGAAGCGTACCCAAAAGAATAGTTAAAGACATAATGGAAACAGTTGCTATTAGCTGGATATACTTACTGTCCCCAGGCGACTTGTTTATGCAATACATCCATAATATGAATAAAAGTGGTACAGACAATACTGTCTGGATGTTCTTTATATAGATATTTTCCATGTGGAATATGCTGCCAAATAGAAACTCAATAATGCTGTAGATCCACCCCCATATGAGTGTCTGGTAGATCAATATTGAATTAGCAGACTGCACAATAAGTGAGAAGATCAGAATGCCCTGTATATATTTTGGCTTAAGATTAGCAAAACTTGCATATGTCACTTGCTTTATACCAGAAGAGGGCTCTTCTGCTGCCAAGTTATTTTTTCGCGTTCTGAAGATGCACTCTGTTATGCTGAGTATTCCTGTTACAGATAGAATAACAGCCAATACGAATGCCAATAAGCCCCCACCTATTAGGGCACTGTGAAGAAACAGAACTCCAGCCCCCAGCATGGAACTAGCTATTGAAAAGTATAATTTCCTGCCTTTTAAAGTACTTTCTGCACATTCTATCTGTGCACAATCCTGCACCATCTGGTCTTCTTCTTTAATCTCCTGCTCTGCACATAAGTTCGCTAGTTCATTATTTTTCTTCAAAAATATCTCTCTTCCATCTTCATTATATGTCATTTGCAAAAGAAACTTTTTGTGTTGATAAAGCCTTTATTAATAAAAGATAAATTATAGGTTGCTGCACTATGCTTAGAACACAAACCATAAGGACTGCATATATTGGACAAGATAGATTTCTTCAAATACACATGCATATTTGCATAACTTCTGCAGTGTTTATATGCATTGCTAGTTATACTGTGGCTCCAGTGTATAATTGCATTTTTTCTATCTAAAGGCATTCACTAATTCTTGGAAAATAAAAGATAGAATCTCTTTACTTTTAGTTTACAAGGGTGCTAGGTAAAGTATGCACATATACACTGGTATATTAGTATGTACTTTTATACTACATTTCCATTTGTAGCACTGTTTTCGCAGAAATTTATTTTATTCTGCGGGTAAAGTCAAGAGCATAGAATGCAATGTGTATTAATATTAATATAGTCCAAATTGAAGGAAAATAAATTCATGAACGATTTAAGAAAGAATAAAAATAGATGAACAGGCCAGAAGAAGGGTGATGGACAAAAGAAAATGCTTTCGTCCGGGATCGAACCGGAGGCCTCATCCGTGTGAAGGATGCGTGATACCACTACACCACGAAAGCACACCAATAATAAAAACCGGTTATTTTTCGCGCCCATGCATTTCTGCATAACAGGCGGTTCAAAGGGTCTTGGCGAGGCTCTTTCCAAGTATGTCTTGCTAATGAACCATGAGCTTACAATCATTGATAAAGTAAGGCCTTCTGTTAAGTGCAGGTATATCTACCATGACTTTGTGAGAAAGCTGCATGTGCCGATTGTCTGCGATGTTTTAGTCATAAACCATGCAACGTTCAATGGGTTTACAGAGTTTTTACGCGAAAAAAAAGAGAGTGTTGATGAATATCTCCATATTAACCTTCTCTCGCACATTCAGCTAATTATGCACTGCAAGTACTCTAGACTAGTGTATATTAATAGTGTTCTGAGCATAGCACCCTTTCCTCATGCATCTCTGTACTGCGCAAGCAAGGGATTTATGCACAACTTTTTAGAGTCTTTAAGACGAGAGAACGTGAATGTTCTATCAGTGTATCCGTATAAAATAGACACAGAAATGTTTAAAGAAGTTTGGTCTCCTTTTGCTTTAAAGAGAGATGTCATATGCAAAGATATTTACAAGTCAATTATAAGCAATGATACACATTTATATCTTCCTGGTATTTTTAAATATGCATATTTATACACTATGCTTCCTTCTTTCGCGCAAGACTGGCTTGTCGCAATTTTCTACTACATAATGGTCAGGCGGTGATTTCTTTGCTATTCTGCGAGTTTGATTCAAGGTGTATCTTTGTCTTGTGTGCTTGCATGGTCAGCCTAAGCGCAATGCATCTTTACTTTGCAAATACAAGAAACACTTTTACTAATTCATTTCTATTTAAATTTACCACATTCATTAATTGTCGTCTTAGTCTAAGTTTAGCACATTTATGGTCTGAAAGACAAAGACTGCATTCTCCCAGCTGAATATGCCCCAAGATGAACCCGAATACCCAGAATCAATTAGAGCACTTCAGCGCAGCCCCATAACAGAATATTAGAGGGAAATCATATGCTGAGATGAAATAGTTTTAGAAGCACTTTGTGCCAGCATATTATGCATCTATATAACCGGAAAAAAGACTTTTAATTGTGTAGTGTGCTATTCTATAGTGCTATCTTCTGCTTTGAATGGGGTCTTTTTCATGTACTTTATTTACTTGCTAATTACTGGATTCCACAGGATTATACTTGTACAACTTTATAAAACAACTCCTTTATTATTAAATTATCTACTGTGTTACTATGTGGCTGCTTCTCTTTGTACCAAAGTTCTACAGAATGTCTTGGCTAATACACAAACACACTTTTACCAACCTAAATACGCCTTGGTTTCCATCTACACCGTAAATAGGTCGTGCTACAGCAGATCATACTCCTTCTCCGATGACTTTATTACAATCTTTCCATCCGGCATGCGTATCTCCTTAATCCCAAACGGAAATGTCCTTTCAATCTGCCCATTTCCAAACTCGTATGTGATTATTGATGTGTTTATGTCGTATAAATACTTGTAGTTTTTTGTCTTGTTAATTACGTATATAGAGCCGTCTGATAGTGTGTACTTTATCTTATTTCCTTTTATTTCTTCTTTGCTTTTAACCTTTTTCTTAGACAGAACCTCTTCGTACTCAGCATTCAGTCTTTTTAGCCTATCTATCTCTTCCTTTAGAATATCTGTCACCCTCACTTCCTTTTCGTCTCTTATTTTTTGTATTAGTCTGTCAATGACCGACAGTCTTTCCTTTAATATGCCATCCATTCTTTTTATTAGCTGTAAAACTTTTAAGAATATGAACAGAAAGGTAGGAACTGTTACAGTATTAAAAAAAGACGAGATGCACTCAGTGCAGCAGGAGAATATTAAGGCGTCCATCTTCCTTTCCAATCTAATAAGGAGTTGCATTGGTCCCAGGGCCATGATCAAAATGGTTCTCACCAGGATAGGAACCATTGAGTTGACAAATGACGGAAACAGCATTCTCCGAGAAATAGAAATATCGCACCCAGTGATAAAGTCGCTAATTGAGCTGTCCAGGACCCAGAATGAAGAGGTGGGTGATGGAACTACCTCTGTTGTGGTTCTGTCTGCTGAGATACTTAAGAACATGGAGAGCCTTCTTAAAGAGAACTACCACCCTGTCTTCCTGTGCAATACGCTTAAAAAGATACTTGACCTTCTTCTGTCTAAAATGCGCAAGCATGCAATTGAAATTAGAAACAAAGAAGAGATGGTCAAGAAGATTGTAAGCTGTGGCTTGGGAACTAAAATAGCAAAGTACATTGCAGATTTGGACCTAGAAGGAATTGCCTTGCAGAGTGTAAACATGATCCGGGATAAGAACAACGAAGTTAACATTAAGAATATACGAATTGAGAAAGTGCCTGGAGGAAAACTTTCTGACAGTATGGTGTTTGATGGGGTTATAGTGCAAAAGAGCCTTCTGGACTATACAATGCGCAGAAAGATAGAAAACGCAAAGGTTCTTCTGATTGACTTCCCGCTTGAGTACAGGAAGGGCGAAAACCAGATGAACATTGAAATGCATGAGAGCGAGGTGTTTGGAAGAGCTCTTGAGGTGGAGGAAGAACAGATTGAAAAAATGGTTGAGCTCTTGGCCAGCTGTAAGCCAGATGTCATTGCATCCGAGAAGGGAGTCTCTGACCATGCAATTGCTCTCTTTAAGAAGCACGGCATTTCAGGAATTCGGAGAATAAAGAAGTCTGAAAACCAAAGAATTTCTCTTGCGACAGGAGCCCAGATAATATCAAGGGCTGAAGATGCATCTGTACAGGTGCTTGGAGTGGCAGGCCTTTTCGAGGTAGAAAGGGTTGGAGAAGACGAGTATTGCAAGTTCATTAAGTGTAAGTCTCCCAAGGCCTGCACAGTTCTTCTTAGGGGCCCATCCAGAGACATCATTAATGAGCTAGAAAGGAATCTGCAAGACGCGCTGGCTGTAGCCAGAAACGCGTACCTTTCCAAGTCTGTTGTACTTGGGGCAGGCTCAATTGAAATGACGCTTGCACATGAGTTAGAGATAACACAGGGCTTGACAGAGAAGGAAAAGAAGGTTTACATGGCAGCTGTAGAGGCATTGCGTGCAATTCCTGCCTGTCTGATTGCAAACAGTGGAAATACAAAGCCACTTGTGAAACTCCTTGAGCTAAAGGCACTTCACAGCAAGAAAAAACACAACTATGGAGTTGATGGAAATACTGGAGAAATCATACCATCAGAGATCTACGAATCCATCCTTGTGAAAGAGCAAAGCTTAAAGTCGGCAATTGAAGGCGCAATCATTATTCTGCGGGTTGATGGGATTGTAAAGCAGGAGTAGGCTCATTCTGGGTGCTATGCGCAGTAAGAGTTATCACAGAGTATTTAATCGTAAACTACCGCCATACTAGGACGTTTTTCTAAATAAATTGTGCTAATTAAACACTTTTATCTTCATACAGTGCAAATTTCTTGACTATTTGGCTTCTGTTGTGCACCATGTTTTTTATTGCATTATTATGCGTAGCATTGTCATCCTGTGAATTCATATAATGCCTGGGAAATTCTTCAATGCATATTAAAAAGAATAAATAGACAAAATCCTTGGAGTGGCTTATGCCTACCCGTGCAGATGTCTTTTTCTAAGAACTACTATAGGGCCTACTATTATTGTGGAATGCACATGTGCAGAAATATCATAAACCTTAACTGTTGCATGCCCTGCAACTTAGTCTATCTGAGCCTCATTTTATTCTACTCCAAAGATGCACGTATATAGTGCTTAATTGGCTGACGTACCTCCATATTGATTGTACAATTAAGACAATGCACTCTTAATAACAACCTGATTGATGTCCATCTGTCTAATCACCCTCTATAGAACACTTGTCTCTATGGAGACATAGCAAACAAACATTCTATGCATAAATAAAATTGGCCCTGGATTCCTATGAAACAGAGTGACCGGCTTCTTCCTGTAGCAAATGTGGCAGGAATAATGAAGAAAACCATACCCCAAAAGGCAAAGATATCAAGAGATGCAAAGGAAATGATGCAGCGAGCTGCCTCCGAGTTTATTGCATTTGTTACGTGCAAGGCACAGGATTTGTGCAAATTGGAAAAAAGAAAGACCTTGACAGGAGATGACCTTGTGCTTGCTGTTGAACACTTAGGAATGCCTCTCCATGCAGACGCAGGCAGAAGAGCACTATATAAGCTAAGGGAAGGTCACCAGAATGGTCAAGATACTTATATCCAAGAAACAGGCTCGCCAATACACTGGAAGCCATATGAGCAAGAATAAATTTCTATTTCTTACATATTCACCTTTTGCCCAGAAAGAGTACATGGGCCATTTTAGATTTAGCCATGCGTTATCTAGTTTTACCCTAAACGTAAACATTTTTGGCTAACTAGTGCTATCCTATTTGCTACCTGAATGCATAGATCCCAGCTATATTTTATGTTTGGCTATATCTACTAGCTGTGCAATATAATGAGACTTAACTCGCATATGATGTTTTATCATATACAGCTTGGATCTTTCTAATAAATGCCTAAGGTCAATGCAACAATTTAGTGCTTATTATTGGTGGAATTGAGTAAATATATTAAGATGCATCTTGGCCTTTACGATATTTCATCTATGTAGCTTTTAATTGTTTTTTATTCTTAATATAAAATAAATACGTGTTCTATAATTTTTTTATACTGCTAGTTGTATGCTTTAATATTTATTTAAACTTAAATTTACTAAAATATTCCTTCTATAATTGAAAATCTCTAGTATGCAGCATTGCGTTATGGCAGATAGGACATAACTCGGAAAATGCAAAAAACAAACTGATACACATAGAAGAATAGCTGCTCTATATGGTGCAGCTTTAATTGGTCCTTGGACTTTTAAACGTAAGAGAGCTGTATTCATATAAAGCCAAAATCACTTTATATCTATTGAAAGGAGTTAATCCGTGCATTAGAACATTTATACACTGATTTTTACGGCTCCAGCGTGTCTGTCCATACGCTGTTACTACATTTGCAATCTCAAGAATAGATCCAGTTTCTATAATGTTACTTAAAATTTCTGTCATGCGGGACGTGGAAATATCATCTCTGTACATTCTCCTGTCATTTCTGATATCGTTCATTCGGGCTAGTACATTTTTTGTTTTTGACTTTACGCATGCTAGACACCCAATTAAAAATAGCTGATCTTCTATATTAAGCGTTTGCTTATCGATTAGCACATTGCATAGAAAGCGTATATTGCTGTAGTTCAAGACTTCAGAAGCAGCATATTGGCATATATTATTTTCCAAATGATTAAATATACCATACCGATACTCACTCAGATATTGATCTGGCTGAATTGTCCCACTAGTCAACATTGTGGTTGTACCATCAAGACTCTGGTGTATATAATAATCAAGTATTATGTATTGGTCTAGTATATGCGACTTTTTTCTGTTGATATATGTAGAAAGGACGTACTCTACAAACGTATCTTTAGGAATCTTACTTATTTGGTACATCAATCTGGTATTTTCTTCTTTATCTTTATTTAGCTTTATAACTGGTAAACCAATATCTAGATAAGCTGTTTTTTTGTTTATCAGGTTGATAATTATAGGCCGCGCTTCTCTTCCATACGCATAGTAGATCTCTAGCTTTCCACATATATCATTTGCATAGTTAGGGCTGTTTAGCCCAAGAAATATAAATTTTACAAATATTTGTCTTTTTCTTTTAAGTGCATATTTATAATCATACCAACCGGCTAAGCCACTGCATGGAACACAGTCTCTTGAAAGAGAGGCAAAATAATCTGCTATATATTCCTCTAGCTCTTTTTTATATTCTGATGAATATTGGCTAAAAAAAGAAGGGCCCCTCACTATCATCTTGCTTCTAAAATAGTCTATTCTTTTTTTCTCTGCTGTGTATGTTCTTGTCAATCTTGCAATTATTGTAAGCATATTGAAAACACCCACCTTAATGCTCTTATTATCAAGGTTGGGGTCTCCATCTTTATTAATCAGTAGTTTTCTAACTACTTTAGTCCGTTCCTGATATATTTTCTTGGAAATTTTCTTTCCCGGAGCTATATGGTCTGAGTCTTTCTTTAAAATCTCCCTATTCGCTGTACTTGCTTTTATTCCGCGCTCTCTATTAAAAATATACCCAGTAATGTTTAATGGCAGAGAGAACACTTGTTCTACGTCTTTTAGTATATGGGGAATGTGGCCAGTTCTGTATACATTACTGTGCATGTCATATGCAAAGCAGCAGAACAAGCCAAGCACTATGTGTTCTATATCAGTCACAAATACCTCTGTTGTTAAGTACATATTGTTCCATATGTTTATATTGGCGGTTTTTTTAACAGAAAGCTCTTCAAGATCTGTAAATGGAAGTATTTGAGTTGGCTTTGAGTTCGCAATAATGCTTTCAATCTTCTGTATTTTATCCCAGTAATGGAGAGTGTTCGAGATTTTATCATGAGGAACAAAGCACTTTTTGAAAATTATATTTCCAATTTCTTCTTCTACATCGCAATTCTTTTTTTTTCCTTCTTCTATGTGCTCTTTCAGCATTCTGTATACTGTTTGGTTGAAGCTGATAGCCTCTTTTGTACTCTCCAGATAGTAGTATATGTACGATCGTATGAGATAGTTTGCACTGTAGATAAAACCATCCGTCCACAACTCCATCTTTTTATCAGGATCAATTGACGTTATAATACTTTCAAGTATTGAATTGCTCCTTTTGCTAATGAAGAACTGAATGACTTGAATAGCTTTTGTCTGCTTTTCAAGATAAAGATTGCATTTTGTACTACTTTTTTCTTGTTCTTGTTGAAAAGCAACAGACATATTAAGAGAAAAATGCTCTTCTTTTTCTTCTTTTCTTTGCTTCCATCCTACTTTTCTTAGTACTAGTTTTTTATTTGAGCCTTGAGAATCTTCAACATTCTCCAATAGCAGAGGCACCTGAATTCCCTCTGACAGCAGCAGCAACGAAGCAAGAATCATGTGGGCGTGGTCCTTTACAGGGTCACTTTTCAAGAATAGAGTAAAAGAATCCTTACAAGTTTCTTCCGAAAAGATACTTGTTTTTTTCTTAGGCGAGGGAAATAGATTGATCAGCACAGTAAAGAGGTCTATTGTCTCTTTTTTCATGTGATTTTCATTTTGATCTTTCGTATATGGCACGTCTTTGCTTGGGTATCTTGTAAAACAGTTGTTGTTTTTTTTATCAGATACAATGAAATACGTGTCTACATTTGAATAAATAAGTCTCTGCTTGTAAATAAAATCGGTTTTATCGTATATGCATAGCATGAGTGGGCTAAGCGGGCCATTCATACTCGCCACCCATTGTATTCCATTGTCTTCGTGTACTACTGTTTTTTGCACTTCGTAAGCTTCTTCAAGCTCCAGTATTGCACATACTAAACGCATACCCAATATTGCAAGTATTAAAAACACGTGTGCATATGGCCTTATGAAAAAGCCTTGGGTGTTTTGGGATGTCATGGGTTTTTTATGCATGCATATGGCTGTTTCTCTGTGCTTTTTATTATCATCTAAATACATATCTATTTCTGTATTATGTGAAGCTGTTGGGGCGGATGAGGCAGGATGGCACCCTGTAAAAGAGTCTGGTCTTGCTGGTGAAGCTTTTTTATTATATCTCTGTAGATGGCTTTTTGCATTAAAATTCAAGGCTTTTGTCCTTAGTATGGCATTAAAGCTATTTATTCTTGCCATATGTCTCTTTTTAAATATATTTTTTTAATTATTGTTGCTAGCTTAAGAAAACTAAAATAAAAATTGATTTGAAGTTATTACTATATTCGCCACAGACAACAATTATATAATAGTGAATGATATTATTTTTATATTCAAATATATTTGCTTGTATATACAATATGCTGCGTTTTATAGCAGAATGGTGTACATATCACCATATATTCTATTTAGTTCGGCTAACTTGCAAGTGCTAATAGATAAAGAGCTTTCTCTATCTATTGCATGACTTATTCCTAAATATACAAACTAGCTAGAGTGTTTTCCCAAAAAATATTACAATGTCCAAACTCATGTGTTTCCCTACTACAGATTATTCAACGCTCTTGTCTAGGCAGAAGCACTCTAATGCACACTTCTATGCTTAAACAGTGCGTCTTCTTTCTATTACTCCGCATCCTTACAGCGGGCTAATTATTTTTGCTTTTTATATGTCTACAAAAAATAAGCTTTTTACATGTAGTATATACAGCGCGAATAAATATTAAAAGGAAGGGTTTATTTTTGATTAAAAAGAGAAGAGCACAGGAAAATCAGAGAAATGACATATTTTAGAGACCCTTGAAGGCATGGGAGGCATGAAGACGAGCTTAGCAGAAAGAGATAGCTGATGTCAAGGGATATTTAAAAAACACAAACCAGACATTACACTAGTATTTCTAAGACTCCCAAGCGGATGGCATTATAACTAAGAGATAGTTTTCTGGAATAGAGTGTGCTTTATTTAGAGCTTTGCATACACCCTTGCAACAGTAATGCAGGAATCTTTATTTTTACAAATATCTCTAGAAAGATTTATACATTACGCCATAGAAGCAGAAGTACCCTAGCCTGGAAATATTTTCTGAATAGTAATAGCATCATGTTAAGTAAAAAACTTTTATTTATGCAATAGGAATGTTTTATTAGTGTTCTTATTCGGAGCTTGTTTTAAATATCCTGTCAAGATCTGACTTTTACAGAATTGCATCTATCTTTATACACAGAGTCTGACTTCAAAGTAGTGAGTTTCCAGAATGGTTTGTTCATTATGCTTCTATGAATTTATTCTGCTATGTAACACTATTAAATTATTTTTCTTGAATGTTAACAAAGCTATTTTCTTTTGATATATGAGACCCTTTTCACACTCTCATATGATTATACACTTATGCTCTGGATGTATGTATTACCAAGCTATTTTGCATATTAGAAATGGCATAGCCAGCCAAAAACTATCTAATCCTCAGTATACATGTTGCTTTCATCAGCCTATTACATATGCCACAATATAAACTATATTTTGCACAGCTACACCGTGCTATATTGCGCTTTGACAGAATACATTATGCATTTTAATATATGATATAGATAATTAAGCATGACAGGATCAGAAAGAAAAATATCAGGCAATAGATATAAATATAAGAAGGGCTTTGTAGAACATGCAGAAAAATATAAGAGAATGTTCAGAAGATATTGAACTAAACTGGCCGCCTTCTGACCATAGGTCTATGTATCAAATACAAGAAGAACCTCATGGTCAAAAATATCTATGGGCTATTTTTATTATGGTGCTTGTAATTATAAGTTTCTTGATAGCAGTCTTTGCAACATTATATGCAATGGATATATGGCCATTTGAAGAAACGATGTCTACAAATAGCACAACTGAATCTAGCTTAGCCTTAGCCAAAGATTCTATAGTGAAAAATGTATCTAGTGCACTAGAGAATACTGATACTAAAAAAGCAGTTTACAATGTAACTGGTTCTGTGGAAAATGGATACAATATTACACAACATGTGGAGAAAAATGTCTCTAGCACAACAAAGATTCTGCCTACTACACTAACAGATATAAAAGCCACTACTGTGGCATCAGGCACAACGACCAATGCAGAAGCCACTACTGAATTATTAAGTAAAGGAGTCACTGACTCCATTATAGCATCAAGCGAAGGTGTTACACAACCTACTGAATTATTAAGTGAAGGTGTTACACAACCTACTGTAGCATCAAGTGAAGGAGTCACTGACTCTACCGCAGAAATAAGCGAGGGTGTTACTCAAACCATTACAGCATCAAGCGAGGGTGTTACTCAAACCATTGCAGCATCAAGCGAAGGGGTTACTGATCCCATCGTAGTATCAAGCGAGGGTGCTACCCAACCTACTGTAGCATCAAGCGAGGGTGTTACTCAAACCATTACAGCATCAAGTGAAGGGGTTACTGATTCAACTGCTAAAATAAGTGAGGGAGTTACTGATCCAATTGTAGCATCAAGCGAAGGGGTTACTGACCCCATCGTAGCATCAAGCGAGAATGTCACTCAACCTACTGTAGCATCAAGTGAGGGTGTCACCGATCCTATTGCAGCATCAAGTGAAGGTGTTACACAGCCTACTGTAGCATCAAGCGAGGGTATCACTGATCCCATCGTAGCATCAAGTGAAGAGGCTATCCAACCTACCAGTACAAAGAACATAGCTGTAAGCCAAAGTAATAGTGATGCTGTAAATTCTACACTAACAAGCGAGAGTGTTATTGACCAAACTGTAGCATCAAGCGAGGACGTTACTAAAACCATTGCAGGATCAAGCGAGGGTGCTACCCAACCTACTGTAGCATCAAGTGAAGGTGTTACTGAAACCATTGCAGAATTAGGTGAAGGAGTTAATAAAACCACCGCAGAAATAAGCGAAGGAGTTGCTAAAACCATTGCAGGGTCAAGTGAAGAAGCTGCTAACTCTACCAGTCCAAAGAATATAACCGCAAGCCAAGGTAACAGTGATACTGTAAATTCTACACTAACAAATGAGGGTGTCACTGACCAAACTGTAGCATCAAGTGAAGGTGTTACTGACCCTACCAGTGCGAAGAATATAACCGCAAGCCAAGGTAACAGTGATACTGTAAATTCTACACTAACAAGTGAGAGTGCTACTAACCAAACTGTAGCATCAAGTGAAGGTGTTACTGACCCTAACAGTGCAGACCAAGATTTCTTAAATAGTTTAATTGCTAAGAAGAAAGCTAATTGTGATAGTATAGCAAGACTTAAGACAGAGAATGCACAAATAAATAATCGTATAGGCAATTCTAGCAAAAATGATACTCATGCCTCGAAACCCAAGATCAATGATAATGTTCTGACAATGGATTTGAACCAAAACAATACAGCTTATAGTACTGGTGCAGTCAAGCCTGAATTATCTATGCCAAAAAACAATCTGTCTTCTTCTACTATGAACAATCCAATTTAGCATACAATTGATGTAAGGCATGATGCTAACTATCAATCCAAATCTACTATCCTAACTGGCCTGATGGAGAAAGGTGTCGATTCTATGGTATCTATGGAATATACTACTTTTAATAGGAATTTCTCGACTACATAGTTTTACTCTTATTCTAATGCAAAAAGTAGTTTTTAGTGCGTCCGAATAAAACAACTGAGCTTTAAAGGCTTTAGCTTTTGTTAGTTCCTATTTAAAAGACCAAATACACGAACTTTGGGTTATATTTAAATAAAGCGCTAAGCTATTTATTTCTTTTGAACTTGCTAGGTCTTTTTGTCTTAAAAAGTCTTTTTATTTTGTGACTCATACTATAATTCTCCTGCTAGAAGAAATATTTACATAGCTAAATATTTCAACTTCTCTAACGAAAAGATCTAGAGCATCCGTAATATAGAAATAGTTTTGAGAGTACCTGCCTGCCTAGGAAGCCTTATACATAATTGCAAGAAAAATGCAGAATCCCACACATGCTAATCAAAAACCAGACGAATAACACTATAGTAAGTACAAAAGCTCGGCGGTACACTGCAACCACCCATTCACATAAATATACTAAAGATTCTTTCTTAAACTCAGCCCCTCTACTTTACACTGGTATCCTCTAGCTAAAGCATTGTCTGCACTTGAGAATCACATCAACAATCAATTATGTGTCTTTTAATGACATTTTAGCTACTTTGACATAAAGTACAAGCTAGTAATATTAATATTGTTTTTCAGCTTACATCAGTATCCAAAAAACTATTTTCTATATTTCAGCAAGCTGGTTTTTGCTCTTTGAAATATTAGACTTGGTCATACTAACCTTGGATATAATTTATTTTTCATCGTCTGCAGAGTATAATTAACAAGCCTTTGTAAAGTAAACCGCATGAAGCTTAAAGCAGTTGTTGGTTTTCCTTGCCTTGAGGGCATGAAACCTCTCTTCGGGCTAGAAATGTAGGTTGGTATTGGCCTTTGCCTTCCTGGTTTTTGCTGTAGGACAACACGCTACAAGGGTCTCTACTTGTTTTATTTGGCTGCAATCAAGTGATTGAATAAGTAATATATATTGCTATTTGCCTTAAGTTATCTAATAAGATTATGCTTTCATGGCTCCACTTTAATAGGCTTCTCCTAACGGCCTATAAATAGAGGATAAGAAATAAATTAAGCTGAGTTTAATATGACTAAGTCTAATATTTTGAAGAGGAAAACTCAGCTGTATGCTCAGATTAACAACTGACAGATTGTCTACTGCTGTTTTTTTTTATTTCCACGAAACAAGATACAAGTGACTCGACCTTATTCGAAAGAATCAGTTGTCTGATTGGTCTAAATAGTATTTAGAAGAAGAAAATGTTTCATTTAAACCATTTAAACAGATCGAGAGTTAAATAAAGACAAAGTTTATAAACAAAACCTTCTAAAATAACAATTTGCACTATGGTACAAAAGCTTGTCAAAAAATGATCAATTGATATATAAAGGTTTATTAATTAATAAAAGACAATAAAATCACAGTGATAAGGCCCTGATAATAGCTATAAATAGGAGAATGGACTTTATAAAAAATGCAGTCAAGAGAAATTGAAAATAGTGCCTATGTTGATTTAAATTACAGAGACACTGGAAAAGAATCTACATATCAATTACATGAAGATTCTTCAAACCAGGGATCTCTAGTGAATAAAATATTCAATAACCAAAGAGCAGCTTGTGTTATCATAATAATATCCTTCCTTGTAACTGCAGTTGCAGTATCCCTCGTGGCACTATATGCAATGGATGTATGGCCAATGGGTAGTGATGCATCTTTAAGTTCAGCTGAAGCTACTATTACTGATACTAATAAAAGTGCTACAAACGCATCTAATACTACCCAAATAAGAGACAAATGGATTTCTTATGTAGGCGATTTAGTGCCCGGTGGAGTAGAGGGGCTGAAAAATGCTACCTTGCCTACAGCCGACTATACGACTATACAAGAGCATACTGAATTGACCACTATAGCAAATGATATCACTACTGCTCCTGGCATTACTTTGGGCACAGATCAGCCTGGCTTTACAGACTTTAACCAATACACCACCTATGTAGATGATACGGTAAAAGTGCAGAACTATGCTACAAGTGAAAATATTATAGATTCAACTATAAAAGCTACTGAGTTTACTTCTGTGGAAATGGTAGACAAAGCAGCGAATGTATTAGACTATGATAAATATAATGAATCCTCTACTGTGGCTAATTTAAGAAGATAGATTAATACAGTTTATAATGCTAATTGTAGGTCCTTGGAAGTAATTAGGTCTTTATAGCGGGGATAAGCCAGCTTGTCTAGCATGTAACCACTATTAAAGAAGGCCCGCACTTTAGTCCAAAGATGCCAGTCTTCTACTGCCAATAATTACATTAACATGAGAGCTAACTCTTTTTTAATAAAAAAATCTATTTTATTGTGCTATAGCCAAATAATTAAACTTTAAAAATACTGGTCGCGCCGAGTTGACTATTCACTTGCTTCTATTTTAAGTGTGGTTAGAACATATTTACATTATATTCTATCAACTGCATACGTGCTAAAAATAAACAAGATTAATGGCACTTCTAGCACAAGAATATACATGCAGTTATACGCTAATAAGACTTCTTTAAGGGCAGTATGCGTTGACCTAGACTAATACCTCTTCTCTTGAAGACCATTTGCAGATAATAACACTAATAGTTTAAGCCCGCATACACATGCGATATATTTATATTGGGTGATTTTAAGAAAAATATATTGATCAAAAATCAAGCAACCAATAGAAATTCCTTACAACCGCCCCTGAGTTTACTCGTTACTATATATTGAAAATGATTTATTTTATTTACTGAAAACGCGTTATTCTGTTATTTGGATCAAGGCAACTGGTCTTAATCAGTGTTCTAATGATGAATATATGCAGAGCAGACATGACATTAGATGAAATGGAAGCCACCCTGCAGTTTGAAATTGCAACACCTATAAAAATAAACCCATAAGGACCTCTTAACTTCCATCTACCAGAAGATGGAGTGCATGTACAACAAAAGATTCTTTACTCCAAAGGAGAACCAGATATTTGGCACAACAAAGGCTGAATTTCAGAGGGAGTGGTGCAGAGTCGTGGCAGACCTAGATGAGCCTAGAATTTCATACACTCTAATATGAAGAACTCTATTAAAAACCTAAAAATGTCAAAAGAACATCTATGCAGCGATGAAGTCTCTAATGATAAGTTTAATGCTCTTATGCACATATATTCCTCAAGCACTACCACAAAATGTTATTACTAAGCATAAAAACTCTTTTAGCTAGCATTTTTTATAAATTGCAATAAAAGCTTTTCAAAGCCATTTTCATTTGAATACTAAAGCACTATATGTACTTTGTAGCATTTACAAAGAAGAATCAGCCTATACCGTTAAGAAGTATTAAATAGAGGTAATATTCTTTGGGCAAGAAATCCTTATTCTTCTTACCATAATATTCTTTAATCCGCTTTCTATAAAACAATTTAACCAGAGCCTCATAGGACAGAGTATTTAGTGCATAGTATATCTTTTCTCTGCCAAGGCTTCTTTCAATATATACTTAACAGAAGAAAAGTCATGACTTATGCCACATCATTATAAATTGTGCAAGACTTATTTCTCTCCATAACTTTTTACACCATGCACAAAAAGTCCTGTCATTTATACCAAGACTTAATCCATACCGTCCGTAAGTCTTGCATATTCTGACCAAATACAACACAAATCCATTACTTAGTCCACACTGTCCATAAGTCCTATCACAATTTTCAAAATATATTACACTATATACCATAAATCCTGTCATATTTATTAAATGATATCAGCCGCACTAGCTATCTCTATAGCACTGTGGGTCTTTGGGAATATAGCATATGCCCTCTTCTCCCCCTTGAATGTGATCGCAGTGTTCACCTTCTTTGGCTTCACAGCGTATAGCATCTCAATGGCTTTTTTAATTTCTGTCTTATTTGCAGTTAAGTCACAGACGAATATTATCGTGTTCTGTTTTTCCATTAAGCGCATTGCCTTTTCTGTCTTTGGTGCGTACTTTATTATATCTTGGGGTGTTCTTTTGTTTATTTCCTTCATCCTTTCTTCTGGTGTTGGATTCTTTGGTGTTTTGAGCTCGTTCTGAGACAGTTTTATGGAGTCCTTGTACTGTTGCTTCATGGGGGGTGAAAAAAAGAAAAAATAAAAATATGCCAGAATATACTACGGTACGTGTAGAAAGTTCTGGGTAAATTGCGAGGACTTATTACATACGGTGTAGAATGTTTTGGTGTAAATTTTGTTGTAATCGGTTGTGTTTATGGTGCACAACTTAATACACTATGTGTAAAAAATCTTGCAATATTTGCCATTACTTATAGTACATTATGTAAAAAGTTTTGCAATTTATGACAAGACTTAGTATACGTTGTGTAAAAAGTCTTGCACCAAGTGGAAAAGTCTTTTCATTTATTAATATAAAGTGGACGAGGCCTTGTTCAGGGTATTGTGAAATACGAATAAATTGTTTATATAGCACATTACGTCTTTTGCTGTTTGTAGAAAGAGTTAGGCCTTGCCAAAGTGGAATAGACCCCCCACAGAAGCAACCAGCCCCATCCATTTCTGGGGCTTCCATGGCGTAGTTGGTTATCGCGTTCGGCTGTTAACCGAAAGGTCGTTGGTTCGAATCCGACTGGAAGCGTTCTTTTTTTATTGCCTCAAAATTATTTGCCCATGACAGAAACTTTCCAAAAGATCCAGAAAATCGGCGAAGGCACTTACGGTGTCGTCTACAAAGCAAAGGAAAAAACAACAGGCAGAATCATAGCCTTAAAAAAGGTCAGACTAACAGATGACAGAGAGGGTGTCCCTGCCACCACAATCCGTGAAATATCCCTTCTCAAAGACATAAAGCACAAAAACATCATTGCCTTGCACCAAGTCGTGTACACGGAGAATAAACTCTACCTCGTCTTCGAATACGCTGAAACTGACTTGAAGAAATTCCTGGACACTCTAAGAATCGAAAAAAGATCACTCTCCCCGGAGAATGTGAAAGCGTTCGCCTTCCAGCTGACATCTGCTCTTTCTTACTGCCACTCCATTGGAATCCTGCACAGAGACTTAAAGCCCCAGAATATCCTCATCACGAAAGATAACCAGCTGAAGCTGGCTGACTTTGGGCTGGGCAGAAGCGTAGGCATTCCTTTGCACACCCTCACCCATGAGGTAGTCACACTGTGGTACAGGGCACCAGAACTGCTTCTGGGGGCCCGCAATTATTCCACAGCAATTGACGTCTGGTCTTTGGGCTGCATAATTTACGAATTAATTGAATTGAAGCCCCTCTTCCCGGGAGACTCAGAGATAGACCAGATATACAAGATATTCCAGGCTCTGGGCACCCCCAACGAAACAGTCTGGCAAGGAGTCACCACCTTGAAGAACTTCCAGGTGGAGTTTCCTGTCTGGAATAAAAGTGCTATAAAAATAACAGATCCGCAGCAGAATCAGTTAGTCACTGATATATTGGTGTATAATCCTGTGGATAGGCCTTCTGCTGTGCGATTATTGCAACATCCTTACTTTCTGAAATAAACCCTCGTATTTGCAAACTTTATTTATGAGCATTAAGAAGCTGAAGTTATTTGGTATACGGGCATTCACTCAGGAACAGCCTGCTGCCTTGGAGATGCATGCGCCCTTGACACTAATTGTAGGGCACAACGGCACTGGTAAAACTACAATTGTAGAGGCCCTAAAGTACGCAACAACAGGAGGCTTGCCTCCTAACGCCAGAAACGGCGCGTTCGTGCACGACCCAAGGATCTCGCAAGAGAGGGAAACAAAGGCCCAGATTATGATGAAGTTTACGTCTTGTGCTGGGGATGAGTATATTGTGGTGCGCGGACTATCACAGACACTTGGTAAAATTAAGAGAGAAACAAAAACAACTGAGAGCGTGCTTTGGAAGGTGGAGAGAACCGGGAAAAGAATGATATGCAATAAATTATCAGAAGTGGATCTGGAGGTGCCTATACTTATGGGCACAACAGGGCCAGTTTTGGAGAATGTCATATTTGTGCACCAAGAAGAGTCTGCATGGCCATTCAGCGATCCATCTGCTGTGAAGAAGAAGATAGATGGAATATTTTCATCCAGCAGGTTTGTTAAGGCAATTGATGCACTTGTCTCCCTTAAGAAGGAGAAGTCAGGTGACCTGAAAATATTAGAGTGCAAATATGAAGGACTGCAGCAAAAGACACAGCATAAGCACGTTATACAGCAAAGGATAGAGCGTATTGTGGATAGGCTGAAGCTAGTCAGGAATATGTCGCTTCTGGGAAGTGAGCGCATGAAACAGGCACAGAATTCCTTAAAGGAGGCACAAGTGAAATACGACCAGGCGCTTCTGTGGGTGCGGCAGAAGGAGAAAGCAGAGTCTGAGCTAGCTGGGCTGTCCACTAAGGAATTACTTCCTGGAAGTGTAAATGACTTGGAGGCGCAATTAAAACGCACAGAATGCACATGGGATGCAGATGAATTGGCCCATGAAGAAAGTGTTTTGCGGGTAGATGAAGATAGAGTACTTTTGAGCATCCGTAAATTTGAAGAGCTTAAAGTGGTTGTCTCACAGAGCAAGATAGAAGTGGATGGTCTCTTACAAGAGAAAATAAAAAACACACAGAGCATCCTGGAGAAAGTGAATGCATCCAGGGCGCACCTGCATAGAGTATGCAGTGTGCTAGCTGAAGTAATAGATGAAATAGGCAAATTACAGGACAGGGCGTGCGATGGTGTATTGGATGCAATTATGAGACAAGTGGATGGAGTACTCCAGCGGGATAGAAATATCACAGAAACATGCGCATTAGTAGGCACACCCTTGGAGGTAGAGGCATTAGTTGATGATGAAATGGGGTGCCTAGAAGGCGTAAAGGGATGGATTTGCCAGATTGACAAGATACTTGATCAGAGGCTGCAGAGGAAAGAGTCTTCTGTTAGGCTAATAACTGAAGAGATAGGTGTGCATAAGGAGAAATACAGAAATATACAGAACAGAGTATCTGAGATACGGAATATTATGGATGTAGATTTGGCAGAGGCAGACACATCATTTATCATGGAGATACAAGAGAATGAGGATATCCTGAATAGAGTGTACACTAAGAAGGAGTACAACAAAGATGTAATATTCATGGAGATTGAAGAAATACAGAGAAAGCTAGATGCATCTTTGAAGGAAACTGAGAAAAGAAAGGAAAAAGAGTTCTTGCAGGAAGAAATAGCCAGGAAAGAGAAGGAGCTGGAGTACATTGCATTCCCATCGGATATAAAGAGAGGAATGTCCTTGCAGGATATTATGGAACAAGAAGATGCACTCCACCAAAGAATATGCACATTAGATGGAAAGATAAAGGAGATGCAGCAGAGCCATCAGAAGAATATGCAGAAGAAGATTCTGGAGGATGCAAAGGAAATAGCATACAAGATGATAGATCAGAAGAGAATCCAGAAAGTACAGGATATATTAGAGAATATATCAGGAGAACTAGTAGTAGATCAGGTGCCTCTTACTAAGCTGGAATTGCTGCAAAGGATCAAGGAAGGCTTTAAAGTGAACCTACAGGCGGAGATGGAGGATGGACTGTCTGATGTAATTGAGGCATGGGGGAGTATTTCTGCCTCTGAGAAGATATACGAAGAGTTCTTGAGTCGTGCAAACGAAGGGTGCCCCTTCTGCAAGTCATTTATTAGCACGGGTGTTTCAAAGGGCCACATCCAGAAGATTAAGAATATCTTGGAGTGCATAAAGGCAAAAAAGGCAGAAATCCAGGAAGAAATGGAAATTGAAAGGGAAAGAAGAAACACCAGCCAGAAAGAAGTAGTCTTAAAATCACTTATAAATGAACTGTCTGCACTTCTGGTTCACCAGGTAGATCGATCTGGTCAGAGTGAAGTTGATGAAGCGAGAAGAGTGGAAGAGTCTCTTGCATTACTGGATACTTTTAATAAGAATATGTCTGCGATAAAGAACATAAGAGGCAAGTACCAGGAGATAGAGTCACTTAAGGAGCGGGCAGCAGGAATATGCTTAGTGAATGAGTGCTACAATGCAATCAGCCAGATGCACAAGCAGAAGATGGATGACTTGCAAGAGATTGAGAAATTGGAGCAGAAGGAGCAGGAGTATTATAATGACTTAGAAGAAAGAAAGAAGGCATCCCGCGATAGAATAAAGAACATTGAAAAAACACTTGAGCAAAGGAATAAGTACAGGAAGGAGGCAGTCTCATTGGAGAAGGAAAGTGCATCCTTGGAGGAAGAAAGAAAAAAGACAGAAGCCATATTGCAGGAAAAGACAGAAATGCTTGCAGAAATAACACGGCATGAAAGAATTTATTATAAGGCAAAGGATACCTTGCAGGCAATTAAGATACCCAGCAATAATCTAGTGGAAATGACCTCATTAAAGGAAAGACTCTGCGAGATATTTGCGCGGATTGACGTTCTTGCCAGGAAAGTATACACAGAAGAGCACTGTGCAGCAGAAGATGCACTTAGAGAGAAATTGCATGAGATTGAGCAGAAAAAGGCCTTGGTTAACAATAAGCTTGCAGCTGTGCTGGAGATGCAGGCGCATAAGCAGCTTATTAAGGACTCTATCCGGGCAGCAATTCTTATGGAGAAAATAAAGGAATGCACTGCCACTCAAGGAACACTTGACTGTCTCCAGGAAGAAATTCAAAGAATTGAATGCAGTCTAATGAAAGAACAGAAGACTATTTCAGAGTGCGCTGGTGAAGTGTATAACTTGGAGAAGCAGAAGGAAGAGGATGAAGCAGATATAAAAGTGCATGAATCTGCAGAGTCTGATGAGTTATCTGCATTCATCATGATAAAGGTCTTGAAGGAGAGTATTTCTGACTTGGAGAAGTACATTCAGAGCGTGCAAGCTGCAATTGTCAGGTACCATGCGGAGAAACTTGCAGAGGTCAATGCGATCATTAAGGAAATCTGGTGCATAGCGTACAAAGGCACAGATATTGATGAGATAAAGATTATTTCGCACATGGATAAGACATACAGCTTGGTTATGGTTAAAAATGGAATTGAAATCGACATGCGCGGGAGAGTTAGTGCGGGACAGAAGGTTATAGCATCGATAGTTATACGCCTTGCGTTGGCAGAAGCATTTAGTGTGAACTGCGGATTTCTAACTCTTGATGAGCCCACAACTAACTTGGACAAGGAGAATATTGCAGGCCTAGCAAAGGCACTTTCCTCAATTATTCAAGCCAGAAAGGCAGAGGGAAACTTTCAGCTGCTTGTAATCACGCATGATGAAGACTTTGTCCGAGAGCTTCTTTCAACGGAATGCACAGAATACTTCTATAGGCTGGAAAGAGATACTATTGGGACCCCAAGGATTGTGCAACTTTCCATATACGATCTGTAAATGAATGTCTTTTCTATTCAGGCTAGGCTGAGTCTGAATTATACGAGTGCATGCACATGAATCTAAGTGCAATGTAGAACTATCTACTCTCCAGGAAGTGAATAATTTATAGCAGAGACATGCACTATTATTTATTAGATCATACAAGAATAAAGGTCTATATCTATCTTTGCACGTACCCTTTCTACTTTAGAATTCATTAAAATACATGAACTGTTGGTTTTCCATAATGGCCCAGCTTTTTCTTCTGATGCTTGCTACAAGTTCATAAAATGCTTTCTTCATGAGAGAGCTGGTATCTTGTTTTAAAGTATAATTCGGGTTGTATCATATGTGTTTCTTACTTCTTCTCTTGCATACAAATGGGATGGTTTTTGGTTTTATCAGATTTCTTTATTTTCGTTTGCTTTCCTTAAAAATTGAAAATACAGATGTGTTCATAGATATATCCTTGCATGGAGACTTTAATTTTTCAATTCCAATAGAAAACGCATGCAAACAAAAGGAAACACATAAATACATATTAGAACAATCTACACAAAACAACACAGCAGATATTTAATGCACAGGATGCAAACTGCAATTTTAAGACATATGTTAAAACTGTATCCAAGAATATGAATAAATTTAAGCAAGTAATCAAATATATACACCCGCACATGCAAAAGGATCTTTGCTAAATAAATCTAAATGCGAATAAGCTGGAGAAGTGCACGTGCACTTAGTGCTATCACAATCCACAGAATACTCTATATATATTGGATATAATCTGGTAAGCTGATATTTAATATTAAGTTAGCTATTTATATAACAATATACAGTATGTCACTATACACTCTATTATAGCAATTATTTTGGGATGTTACAGGAATATTCACACATTGTTTTCTAAAGGCATTCCCAGAAAAAGCTATAAAGCTGTCTTAGTATGCTATACTGTGGTAAATGTACTATACATTAATAACTATTTATTTAAAGAAAAAATATTCCTGCTATGCAATTCTGCAGAGCACTCTGCTTAAAATAACTGCACTCTAATTCAGCTAGGTTAATAAAATGTATATACACTAGGAGTATGCTTTAATTTTTGGGTGTATCAACTTAAGTGCAAATTTCTTGTGCCAAATCTCTTATTGCAAGACTAATACATATTGCCAAATCTATTGTTTGTTCTAACGCGCTTAACTCCATCCGGGTTGAAGCGCATTTTAATCACGTCCTCTGAAAGCTCATCTTCTACTGCACTTTCTTGAGGTGGCTCTATAACTAGATGTGCAGCTCTAAATTCATTATCCTGCTCACTGTGCCTGCTGGATACTTCACTGCACTCGTCGCTTAGTTCGTCATAAGATATTGCATACTCGCTGTCCTCCTCGTCTGTTTCATTTGAGTGCGACTCACTCTCGCTGTCATCAACTACAAGTTTATCCATGCGCTTTCTTGAAGACTTCTCCGGAATATGCTGGGACACTCTGGTGGATGCACCTTTCCCGTGTGCAGGTAGATTTTCTTCTTGTGGAATGTCCTCGGATGGAATAGTAAGCAGACTGTCCATGGTGAGATCACCAAGCCCTATAAAAGAGTCATTTCCCTTCTCATTTTCCTTTTCATTTTCTTCTGCATTCTCTGCACGTATATGCGCACTTAGAACTATTTCTGTGTCTTTCAGCCCCTTAAGCTTCTCTTTCACGCGATCAATTGAATCCTCTGCACTTAAAATGCGGTACAGCTGGTTCCATATAACTGAATACCTGCTAAGTGCCTCTTTTTTACTGTACTCTGTTAATTCTTTTGGCGCACCTTTGTTATATTCTCGCATATTTCTAAAAATTTAATGCAGAACAACTTCTTTACACACCAAAGACTCTTGAAGGCCTTGGGGGCAGAATACGAGTCTCCGTACCACCGGAAAAGAGAGAGCTCTGAAAAAGAGAGGAAAAGTCTCCAGAAAGACTATGCATTTTTCTTAGACGAGCTGGTGCAGCATCCAGAGAACATTCCGTTTATACATGATTATGATGAAGCACCGCCCATTCTGACTATAAGCGAGGTGGAGGATCTTGTGCACACCTTTGAGGTCAATCTCAACCTAAGAAATGCAGGTGCATCTGCCACAGCAAAAAAGCCACTTGCCATGCCGTCTGCACAAACAACAAAGTGTGCAAACTGTTTTCTGAATAGAGGAAAGAAGCCAGCAGAAACAGGGGCTGTCCCTAGCACAATTTCTAGCGTTCCAGTGGAGAACTCTCCCTTTTCGACAGCAAAGGACCTACTTCCGCCAGAAATCAGCAAGACCCTCCCAAAACGAGCTAAGCAGGAAGAAACAAAGGAGGATGCGCTGGACAAGGTAGCCAACATTGAAAAGAAGTTCCTGGAGATCATCAGAAATGAAGTGCTTTCACCTAGAGACAAGGTTGATTGGGAAGACATTGCAGGGCTTCCTCACATAAAAACAGCGATAAAGGAAATAGTTGTATGGCCCATTATACGCCCAGATATTTTTAAGGGACTGAGGGGCCCTCCCAAGGCACTTCTTCTCTTTGGTCCACCTGGAACAGGAAAGACAATGATTGGAAAGTGCATTGCCAGCCAGTCAAAGTCAACATTCTTCTCAATCAGTGCATCTTCTCTTACGTCAAAGTGGGTTGGTGAGGGCGAGAAGATGGTACGGGCTCTGTTCTCTGTGGCCACTGAAATGGCACCCTCTGTTGTATTTATTGATGAGATCGACTCTCTTCTTATGCAGCGAACTGAAGGCGAAAATGAAAGCACCAGGCGAATAAAGACAGAGTTTCTTGTGCAGATGGATGGAGCAAAGCAGAGCAAGGACAATGTTCTGGTGATAGGCGCCACAAACCGGCCGCAGGAAATAGATGAAGCCGCAAGACGAAGATTTGTCAAGCGCCTTTATGTTCCGCTTCCTGATAAAGAAGGCCGCAAGGAAATGGTTAAAAAAATAGCAAAGGACATTTGCACACTTTCAGATGCCGAAATAGAAGACCTCGCGCAAATTCTGGAAGGATACTCTGGATCAGATATATACAATCTATGCAGAGAAGCTGCAATGGAGCCTGTGCGAGAAATTGTTGAGCTGGAAAACATGCAGTCGCTGCGGGGAATCCATATGAATGACTTTCTCTCAGCAATGAAGCACATTCGAAAGAGTGTATCCACAAAAGAGCTTATATTCTACGAGGAGTGGAATAGAGAGTTTGGGGCACTCACAAAATAAAAAAAAGCCAAAGCAACAGGATGGCCAGAGTATGAAGAGAAGAGAGAGAAACTGTGCGAAAATACTGTGCAGATGCACCAGATTCAAGAGTAATATTAAATGTACACATGATAGCCATAGAATGATTCTTAGCACGCTACTTATATACTAAGCACTGAATACAGTATGAAAATAAACAGAACAATGCTATAATTTCATTAGTGCTTTCGCCTAAAACTGGCTTGCTTCTCTTCTTTATTTCATACCAGAGATATTTCACTCTGCATTCGCAATATGCAGACCTTATAGCCTTACAAATATACAGTTGAGATTATGTCTTTTCATTGTATAGTGTGCGCGCAGTATTCATATGTGGTACCAAACCTTTTTATGACCGTTTATGCCAGAATAACCCGAAATGCACTAGCTAGCAATAAAGAGGACTTTTCGCCAGCTAATATTTGGGAATTACTGTCATTTGAGCAGCACAATACAGCCCCTTTAGAGCATGATACTTAAATTCAGCTGGATTTTAATGTATTCAGATATGCATATTTTCTCTATACTAAGAATATTTATATAAATAAACTCTTCTATATAATAAGTTTTTTTGAAGAGATTTAAAATTAGTTTTTTTCAGGAAAACACAGAGGATCCAGGAAAATCAAAAAACAGACACTTTTTAAAGACCACATAAATAATTGAAGGGTGCACAATGTAAAAATCAAATGCATGGCAGAAGAAAGCGCCCAGTCAATAAAGATAAAAAACACATCATGAGATGGCATATTCAAACACATAGAAATATAGCCCGAAATGCTTTCTTTACTGATTATTTTCTGTGTTACATACATAAAGAATATAGATATTTCTACTTCCTGGTGCAAATAAATCTCCTATATTTATTTAGCTTTTCAAAATATAATTTTACTATACCACCAGACAACTCTTAGTAGTGTGTATATAAAGGCTATATCTTGAATGAAAAAAGGAGAGAATATCAGGCAGTATGCACTAGACAAAGAGTTATTGATTGCAGATTTGCAGCAGGAATACATATACTTAGAGTATTGCTAGAATAGTTTGGGTTCTATATTTCTGCTTCTTTGGTATTCCCATAAATATACAGAAGGACTCATTTCTAGACCATACAGATACATTCTGGTCAGGATATGCCAGAGCAACAGGATTCTATGAAAACAAAGCGAATATTACAGTAATAACAGTAGGAAAAGCAGTAGACAGGGCTATATTATCATAATACTAAGCGAAAGAATTTTAATAAAAATATGTGCGCTGGTTCTGTACAATATAACCCGAATAGGATATATAAAAGTGCAGGTCTTTTTATACTGTAAATGACTTCTTTGCAACGCAAGCATATGAGTAGATAGTAGCAAGAGTACATGCAAAGAAGCAAGTTATCTGGAAAAAAGCATGCAATAACATCGCTTGTGCGCATTCGGGTTATATTGGGCCACATTTTAATTGCACATGCTAATACTTCTGCATTTGAAGAGCTGCAAAGAGCATATATTCATGTATGTATTTTTACAGAAATTCGGGTTATATCGGGGGTACATATAGAGCTTTGCCAATATGCCAAATAATTCAGGCTTGCGCTAATATTTTAGAATATAGTGCCCTAAAATACTTTAAAGATCAAAAGATCCGAAATAATACGGTATAAAAATAAAATTTTATTTTTAGCATCAATGGGGAGTTCGCAACTAGGAGAAAGTGTAATGAGATCAATAGAGCGGAAACTGCCTATAGCAGGGATAAATTTCTCTGTTATAGCTGCAGGAGCACTATTTTCATACACAGAAAGAGGAAGGGCCATGCTAACTGTTTTAAAACAGGGCGCAGTGCTTGATTTTCTGCTTTTAACGATGACAATCACACTTGTTTTAATGAAGGCAGTTGCGTATGCATATGAAACAGAAGAAGTATACAGCAATAAGCAAAAAAAGAATCTTGCTATGTTAGAGACTGTCCTGGGCACGCTTGGGGTGGTTATCTTGGGAGGTGTGGCAGCAAGTCCAATGTGCATGATTATGGCAGTAGGCACAGCCTTTATGCTTAGAGGAGAGAAGATGTTTAAGCACTTGGCTTCAATCATTGGAGCAGTGGGTTTAGCGGTGTTTGTAATGAGCAACCCAAATATGCCGCCTTATGTGTATACAGTTCTGATCTCTGCAGGAGTCTCTTTCTGCATTCTTGGAATGCTTAGGCTGGAGACAATTGTAAAGAACCAAAGTGCCACAATGCTTGTGCACTACTTCACACTGGTGAGTATCATTCTGGCAGCACTTATATACAGCCCGCTTGCATTTATTATGCTTCCATTAGTTCTTTTCTGCGCAATTAACTCGCACTATCTGGATGAGAACGTACAAAAGATACCGGGCGTTGGATATGTGTACAGAAAGATTGTAGGTCTACTTAAGAAGCCAAGTAGAATATACATGGTAGCTATTAGGCTGACAAAAGTATTAATACCAACAGTAGTGATAGGCATGGGGGTACTGTACTTCTCTGCATGGTATACAGACAATCCGATTATATTAAGCCAGCTAGGAATTAAGGTTACAAACGAGTCCCCAATCTTTGCAACCATATCAAGTGGCCTTGGATATGTAGTGGACAGCAGTATTTATGTAGTGAACACGGTGTACATGGCACTGAGACCAAGAGCAGTGGGAGAGTACATTTTGAAATCGATAGGAGTAGATCCGTTGGAGGTGTCTAACTCTAATAGAATCTTTGTGCAGATTGCATCGGTTGTCTATAAGGCACTTGTTTTCATGGATAGCATTTTAGCATCTATTGTTGTGTTTGCCGGTGCAATTGTAAATGTGCTAGCAGGTATAGTATGTGCTGTGGCCCTCAAGCCATTAAAGATATATGGATTCGTACTAAATCTAGGCAAGTGGGCTCTGTCCAAGGTGCTGTACGTGATAGACACACTTTTGTACTACTGCCTGGGAATTACTACAAATCTGTATGCTGTAACTTCGCCAAATGCGCAGCCAGCACCAAGCATTTTGTCCCGGGCAGCTAGCGTTGTACTCTATCCGCTTACTTTGATGAAGATGCTTTTCAGGAAGACACCAACAGGCGCAGGGACTACTGTATCTGGGCGCAGCACTGGAAATGCACTAACAGCTGTATATGGGCTTTTGATAAACGTACTTTTTGTGCTGTTTGGTGCATACTCTTGCATGTTCTTCACTACCAACGGAAAGGACATGGCATCAACAAAGACCATTTCCTTTGAGAGCTATGGAGTATCCCCAGTCATGGGAGATAGACCGCTAAGCATAGACAAAGAGCTAGTTAATGTCAGAAGAGACACCTTCTATCAGAAGTTCTTCGATGCATACTGCGAGACTGCAACTGTGTTTACTGATGTTAATGGGAATGGAGCGTTCTTAGAGGAGGAATTTGTAAACAAGACCTTAAAGTCAGGATATAATCCAATGAATCAATACACAAACGACCAAATATGCAAGCCTGTTGCATCATTCCAAGAGGAGTTCCAGGAGAAAATCCGGAAAATAGGGGCAATTGCAGCAAGTTTCACCGCGGATGAGAAGGCAGCACTGAAGAGCATTCTGCAGTACTTCCCCAAAGTCCGTGGAAAGAAGGGAATGTCTGTCCAGGAGAAGGACCTTGAGAATGATCTGAAGGATGCCTTAAAGGCCAAAAAAGACCCAAAGAAAATAAAGCCAACGGCCCTTGAGAATATATTGGGGCTGAAAAAGAGCGCAAAGGAAGTCCAAAAACTGGCAGACCAGAAATACATAAAGGCCAAGGTACACATGGTAGAGTACTACAGAAAGTACTACTACAACTTCTATATTCTTGCGCAGTACTTCTTAGACAACATGAATCCGTCTATTCTACATGCAGTCTCATCTTCTGCTGTTGAAACATACAATGCAGTGCTTCCAACCAACTACAGTGATATATCCGACGAGTATCTCAAAACAATTGTACAGTTAAGAACTGCAATTATTAAGAAAGAGCTGCCTTTCCTGACAGAAGTGCAGGCTGCAGCTCGGCACCACAAAACTCTTCTTCGCAAGATGGAGGCAGAGGGAGTGATACAGAAAGGAGAAAAGCAAAAGGAAGGATTCTTCTTGAATGGGCTTGGAAAGTGCCTAGACTACAACTCCGTCTTGGAGGAGGACACAGACCTTTTCGTGTACCATGAAAAGATCAGCTTAGAGAAAGACGCGCAGTTCATTTACTTCAAGTCTTCAGTTTCTACAACCCCAAAGCCAAGTAGAAGTCCTTTCATAATCGGAAGCAGCACGGAAATTGACTTATCTATAAAGAATGCTGAGAGCACTGTTGTATCAATCTCTGTTAATGACACTCCCGTATGTGCTAGAGTTATTCCAGCAGATAGAACAAAGAACGTGCTCATAGACATGAAAATACCGCTAGAGACAATTAGAAAATCCAGTATAAGTAATCCAAGCGATGCCAGCCTTGCTAAGATTACTGTGCGTATGTTCATAGGACACGCATCACTTCTTAGCACAAATACATACCAGATAGAGCTGTAATAAACATCATTCTACTATGAGAGCCATTTCGTACTTGCATATACCCCAAGTCTTATATTTTGGTTCTATGTGCACACCACATGTCTTTTCATTTAATTCAATTCTGTACAGAGATTTTGCAGCCTCGGATGGGAAAACCACATTATTATAAAGAAGAAACTAGTAAAAAAACAGTATTCTTGGTGGAAGAGTGCTAAGTAAAGGAATATGCATATAAAATATCTCCGCCTTCTTTTCATATTTAAGATTAAGACTCTTTTATTCAAAAGACTATTCAATATATAGACCACTTTTTATAGCCTGGTATTCAGAAAATATCCAGAATGTATTCCTTGCTAGCAGACACTAATTAGAGCCATATATAAATACACAGTCCTCTCTTGCTCTTTAGATAAAGCAGATGTCTGCCTGCACTTTGCTAACCGGAATCTATCCATTATACATTTACACTGCATGAATTTTACTATACAACTGCACACATAGCGCATTACAATAAGGGACGCACTGAATAGCCAAAGACTAGTTTATTATTGAACCTTTCTCACAGTACTTCTATCTACTGCAAGTAAAAGGCGCATATAGAGTCTATGTGTACAACAGTAGGCACCAATAAGAATGATGCATCTTCAAGTTATATATAGAGTGCTTCGCACAAGCTGTCTATGTCAAAGGGCAGCAAGTCAACATTCTTTTGGCCTACTCCTATAAAAACAACAGGCTTGTCTACTGTATGGGCAAGGCCAACTATTGTTCCAATCTTCTCATCTACTGCATCGCATTTAGTAACTACAATACCATCTATTGACTTGTCCACACATGCTCTTTCAATATATTCATTAAATCCTTTAATTTGCTCAATTGAGTCATTTCCCACCAAAGCCTCGCCTACATAGAATATCTTATTTGGCTTTGAGACTCTGATTAGCTTTGACAGAGAAAGCATGGACTGCGTGTTTCCTGGCATTCTACCACACGTATCTATCAATACCACATCAAACCCGTGCTGCTGCGCATGCGCAATTGCCTTTCCTGCAATTGAAGACTCATCCTTCTTGTATCCCTTTTCATACAGGGATATGGCATGCCCTCTTGCCTGGTACCTTAAGACATACTTTTCCAGCTGCTCAATTGCACCACTTCTGAACCCATCACATGCGCCCACGCATATTCTAAATCCATTTTTAAGGATCCATAGGCACAGCTTTGAAAGCGTGGTTGATTTCCCTACGCCATTCACGCCCACCATGCAGAATACATACGGGCCCTTTCCATTTCTCTTGTGACTATGTATTTCCTCAATAATCTTCTCTGGAGAGAGTGTAGGAACTATCTCAGATAAAACTTGCTTGAACCCGTGCCTTAGCTTTTCATTTTCAGACATACTGCCTGTTTTCTCTTCATTTTTCATCACCTTTGTTATGTCGCATGCTATTTTTCTGCTCAAAACGTACGGAACATTTCTTGTCAGAAGATGGTCCTGAATTGACTTCTCGCTTACTTCCTTTTTTGCAGTCAAAAAATTAAGAAGATTCCTTGGTTTTTTCCACTTATCCCATCCTGTTGTTTCTTCCTCTGTATCTGAGTCATCTATCGCAGCCACCTCTTTCTGACTACTTTCTGTGCAGTCTACCGCGTCCTCGTCTTCTTTCCCTTTGAATATGCCAAACAGAACTTTTGCGCCTTCACTTTTTTCTGTCTTGTCTTTTGCATCCATTACAGCACTTTCAATTTCTTTCTCAATCTCTGCCTCTTTATACACAACCAAATATATGTTAGATACTCCGAAGGTATATGTTATCCTATCATTTCTAACCTTTACTGATTTTATCGTTGAGAATGCCTGCATCTTCTGAAGAAAGCTCTCTAGATACCCAGGCATTGACCCAGTCTCCCCCAGAACAACGCCTCCTCGAGTTCCAACAAGAGTGTAAAGGACTTTTTCTTTGTTTTCCATAGTAAAAAAATAAGGCTAAAAATATTTTCATATGTAGATTGTTTATGGATCCATATTTTCATAAAAAGAAACATGCTTTATAAAGCAGATTCAGAAAGATCCATAGAATCCTGTTCAAAAGCAAAAACTTCTTTGCCCTTAAGTTCTGGGAGTAGTCTAGCTAATTACACTCGAGTGTGGCTAAGTATAGCAGAAGTGGGCTTTATAGGATAAATGCATATACGTGTATGCACTGCATCTATAAACAGGCGGTTTATATGAATATCAGATATAACCCAATGTAGCACGAATTCACACACTATGTCTCTGAATATATACGTGAAATGTGTATGTAGACAGTTCATGCAAAGGGCCTTCTGTCTTTTCATAGAAATACATGAAATTAGTGCGTATGAGAAAAATACAGCCAGACAATAACAAGAAGAAGGTAAAAGAAAAAACATATTTAGTGCCAATGTATTTATAAGAATATTAATATGCTATACTGGGATTTGTCTATAAGAGTGCCTCTTTTTATGATTTAAACAGAGGAAGGTGTTGTTTTTGGAGTTTTCTAAGGTAGACGAGCAGGGATATTCCAAATCCAACAGCCATTCCAATTGGCAGATTATTAAGATATAAGCAAGGAATAGCCACAGCCGATGAGAAAATTATGGTGTATAGCCCCTTACTCCAGATTCCTATAACTGAGTCCATTAAAATATCAAACCCAATAAACAGAAGAAGCATGTCCAAGCATATCTGCGGGACATAGGAAAAGGCTGTCTGACCAACAAGATATAGAGCTAAAAAGCACACAACAGACATAAGCCCGTCTATCTTTTTAGTTATAGGTCCACCTTTGTTCAAGGCAATTGTAGATGAAGAAACCACATATGTCGAAAACCCCCCAAAGACAGAACTAAACAAGTTAGAAACTGAGTTTGCAAGAAGCTCCTTCTTTAAAGACGGGGCCACCCTGCAGCCAGTGCTAATTGCTGGCATATTCACTGGGAACTGCACAAGGTTAATTATCACAATGCTTGCCATTTTTAAAAGCATGTCAAATGTAAATATACAGCTCCATGCGACCTTGTCAAGCCCAAACTCCATCATTAAAGGAAGGTCGAACAGTATGAAGAAGCTCTTTCCACCAGGGGGAAGGAATTCACTCTTCCTGGCATTTGCTATACTGCCCCATACTCCTAGAATTGGAATATACGAAAGCCCGATTAATGCGAAAAGAACCAGCCCGTATGAAAATGGTCCTATTTTTGGAAATTTCCTGGCAATTAGCTTTGCCACACCCCAAGAGACAAGAGCAAGCCCATTGTACATCACAAGAATGCTCCACCGGGCTATTTCTGAGCTCATTTTATCTGCTATCTTCATGGAACTTGCATTTCCAAATATGCAGCAGAAGCAGCCTATAACAAAGAACAGAGCAATTCCTATTTCTGCTGGGACTTTAGACAGTATTTTCTGGAATCCTGTAACGTACAGAATAAAAAAGACAAAACTGGTCATAAGAGTGGACATAGCTATGAAAACCAAAAGTGTCCAAAAAAGCGTGCTTCCTTCTAGTTTATATACTTGGCTGAGTGCTTCTGTTACTCCTGCAATTGTCACAAAATTCTCTGAAATAGGCGTAGTTATAACCCCAATTGTGAATGATGAAAAAAGGAAAAAGATAATTTGCGAGCTGCATATTCCAATTAAGAACATCACTTTGCTGTATTTTGGCAGATCCATTCCTGAAATGTTTCCTAGCCCAATTGCACCAATGGTCAGTATGTCCATAAAGTACAGCACTATTCCAAGAAGAGCGCATGAAATTCTTTCTCTGAGAGTCGTTTTATGTGCAGTAACTGCATCTGTAGGGGGGCCTTCATCCATTTCAAGTGGAACAGACTCCTCAATATAATTCGGTTGCATTTGAACTGCTTGAGTATCCATAAAAAAATTATTTGCGCCTCCGCATATTTACATTTTACCCCTAACTATGATCAGTCTATTTTTATTAGCTGGTATATATTTTTTAGTAATTCGGTTTTATTCACTCTCCATATAATATATAGCTAATGTAAAGATGTAATTCTTATTCGAGTTATGTTCAGATTATTATGGATTATTTTTTACATTTTACTTTGAACTATTGCATGTTCATTGCGTTCAGCATAAAATCTTCTTTTCCAGATAGAATATAAATGGATAGATACATTTTCTTCTAATTTTTGTCTAAAACAAAGGACTTCCGGACTCCTTCTTATTACATGCTCTATCTTGCAATAATATGCAGTCCTTTGTCTATTTAGTACCAAATAATTAATTACATACCTCTTTGGTGTTTTTGTAGTATGTCTATAGGCCTGCTAAAGCCATAATTATTTTTGTCTACAGTAGTGTATGAAATTTAAATTGTAATTGCAAAAAGTAGTATGATTCCATGCAGCATAAATAAAGGCATTTAAGCTACGGGCTGCACGAAAGTGTGCTAGTCAAAACAGCAGGAGCTGAATAATGGGAATATAGCCCGAAATAAATATATACTTTACACTATATGAAGATGCAACTTAGATTTCTATGTTACTTTTTAGTATAAAATATAATGCTTTGTTGGATGGCATTCCATGCATATAAATAGGACAAGATGCTTAAACTAGTTGGTTTTCTTTTTTGTCTATTTTTAAGATATGATGTGTCTGTGAGTCACTTTAGAAAATAGCTTATCTTTAACCTTTGCAAATAAGCACTTTTATTCGTACTAAATGGTCTTTCTACTATATATTTCTAGCAGTGCATAAATATACACAGAATTCATGCACTTTCATTTTTTCTCGATCTGTCTTCTTGTATTATTATTCACTGCATGCACATGCGTTCTATGTAAGCACTATGGTATTTTGCAGTTGGGTTCAGTAAAGTGCGAGTTATGTGGCTTATTTATTGAAAGTGCTTGCTTTAGAGAGCTTTCTGTGCGCAATTGAAAAGTGTTCTTGGGTTTGTGTGTTTATGGCAGATGTGTGAGTGCTGTGTGCAATGCATCTTAATCTATAGTATGTCTGTATAAAATTAATATTTTCTTGTTTATTATGCTGACTGAGGTAATTGCAGAGGAAGGAATGCTGGAGCATAAAATATGCCTAGAAATGGAAAGAGAGTTAGAGCTAGTCAACTTGAAGGAGAAATACATTTTGGAAGAGATAAAGTCCTTGAAGAAAGAGTTTCTTAAATCCCAGCAGGCAATTGAAAGGGTTAAGAGTGTTCCACTAATAATGGGGCACTTTTTGGAGGCAATAGATGCAGACACCGCTATTATTGGAAGTACAGCTGGATCTAATTCAATAGTGAAGGTGCTCTCCACAGTAAACAAGGAGCTGTTAAAGCCCAACACAAGTGTAGCCCTGCACAGACACTCCAGCGCGCTTGTAGATGTCCTTCCACCAGAAGCAGATAATATATTCTCAGTGCTTGGGGAAGAGGGCAGGCCAAATGTAACATACGCTGACATTGGAGGATTGGACAGCCAAAAGCAGGAGATACGAGAGGCAATTGAGCTTCCCCTAACAGACCTAGCACTCTACCAGCAAATAGGCATAGAGCCACCCAGAGGGGTGCTTCTGTATGGGCCTCCTGGTACGGGAAAAACCATGCTTGTCAAGGCAGTGGCCCACCACACAAAGGCTACATTCATCCGGGTAAATGGCTCTGAGTTTGTGCAGAAATATCTAGGAGAAGGCCCAAGGATGGTGCGAGACATTTTCAGACTTGCAATTGAAAAGGCGCCTTCAATTATCTTCATAGATGAAGTGGATTCTATAGCGACAACTCGATTTGACTCAGCCACAAGCGCAGATAGAGAGGTGCAGAGAGTTCTAATTGAGCTTCTGAACCAAATGGATGGGTTTGACCAGACCACAAATGTAAAGGTAATCATGGCCACGAATAGAGCTGACACAATAGATCCTGCCCTTCTTCGGCCTGGCAGACTCGACAGAAAGATTGAATTCCCTGTTCCCGATAGGAGGCAGAAAAGAATGATATTCACAACAATAACCAATAAAATGAGTCTTTCAAACGAGGTCAATTTGGAGGGACTGGTTTCCAGGTCAGACAAGCTCTCTGCAGCTGAAATTAACTCTATATGCCAGGAGGCAGGAATGCTGGCTGTGCGTAACGGAAGATACATGGTTTCCCAGAATGACTTTGAAGCTGCATACGCCAGGATAGTTGAAAAGAAGAATTCAGAGCATGTGTTCTACTACTGATCAAATAAACCAATAGTACGACTTTCTCCTTATTTATACGTATATCATTTTCTCTATTTTAACATATAAATAGACTTGAGTAATTACTGAATATGAATATTCATTTAAGAAATACAATCAAAATATTAGCTGTGTACGCATGCTTATATAGTGTTGCTGCCGAGGTTAATGTAATAAATCCGCAAATAGTCAATCAAGCTCCAGGTGGATCTCCTGGAATAGGCCAGAGTATTTCTGGGTCAGATCCTAAGCACCTTGGTGG